ACTAAGAAACGGTTTGGCACATGAAGAATTTCAGCATCGACTCGAACAATTAATTCGACTGACAAGACCCACCAACTTACGAGCTTCCGAGAGTCAAAGTGATGATCTTCCATCTGACCCTTCAAAACTGCAAGTTCCACAGCAGCTAGATAATTCTACAGTCAACTCCCGCTTACAGTATTGTGAGAGTCAACAATCCAGTCATCCTGCTTCTCCACAAACTGATTACATCTGCAGCAGTCCCGGAACTCATGACATCAGTAATGAATACAAGGAAATACAGAGGCATACTAAGTTGTCAGCTACTGAGCAGGATGCTTCTATGTCTGAAGCTGTTGCGGCTCCAGGTCCTTCACCCCACCATGACCATCCAACATCACAGAGGCCAGACGATGATGTGCCTATCCTGGCCAGCCTCAACACCTTCCCTCCACTCATCCCATCACACCATCAGTTACAGCATTGTGAAAGTAACAAGTGCAAAAGTGGTAGTGAAAAGCAGAGTACAAGTGGTAACAACAAGCAGAATACAAGTAGTACTAATAGTAAAGATATTTTTTTAGAGAAATAGATAATTTTACTGATGCACATGTCAAGTTAGCGTCTGATAGTAAATTTGGAAAAGATATGTTTTTATTACATTTTAACATTCAGGGTTTTCTAAACAACTATGTAGACCTTAATCTGTTTATTGGAAATATGGATTGCAAAATTAATGTTATATCTATAAATGAACATTGGCTTGATGTTAAAAGTATAAATGTTTTAAATAAACTAGATGGTTTTGTAATTGCTGACTACTATGCTAGAATAGATCAATGGCGGGGGGGTTCATGTTTAATGATTGACAAAAATGTTAGTTTTAAGGTTAGAAATGACTTAAAATTTTTAAATGAACAATGTTGTTTTGAAGGATCTTTTATTGAAGTCAAGGACTGGAATTCAGTTTTTATTTCAGTATACAGAATTCCAGGTAGGGACATAGATAAGATATTTTTAGAAAAGTTTGAAATGTTATTAGACAAAATAGCTTTGGAAGCAATGTCAAAAAATGTTTTTATAATGTCAGACACAAATATAGATTTATTTACCGATAAAGTAAGTACTGATAATTTACTAGAAATTTGTGATTGTTTTGGATTCAAACCTAACGTTCTTGTTCCAACTAGGGTAACGAGTATTTCAAGTACTTGCATTGACAATATTATTTCTAACTTGCAGACAAAAAAAACTAGCAGTTTAGTTTTAGACATAGGTGCATCAGACCACAAAGTTTTACTTTTGTCATTTGAGAAAATGTCCTCTCCAAGACTTAAGGGTGTAAATAAAAAACTTACTCGGAAGTTTACAGAAACAAATTTTCAAACCTTTGAAAACACACTAAATAATGTTATTTGGAACCCTTTTGAAACCTTTAATGTAGATACAAATTACAATAAATTTTTTACAAACTTTCTAAATTCATTCAACGAGGCATTCCCCAAAACAGTAGATCGTCCAAAGAATAAACGTAACAAAAATAACTGGATAACAACAGGAATAAAAATTTCAGCAGAAAATAAAAATAGGTTGCACCAAGAATCAAAATGGAATCGTAGCCCTCAGTTTTTAATCTATTACAAAAACTACAGAAAGGTCTTTAAAAAAGTAGTTGCATTAGCAAAACTGAAAGCTAATGGCGATTTTATTAAAAAATCTAAGAATAAAAGTAAAGCATCTTGGGTAGTAGTGAAAAATGAAACAGGACTTAATAAACAAATATCTGATACTCCAGTTGAGATTAAATTCAAACATGAAAGGGATATACAAAATTGTGCAGTATTGGTAGCAAATAAATTCAATAACTTTTTTATTAATGTTTCTCAGTATGCCAACAAATCAACAGATAAATTAAAAGCCACTCAGTTACTAATCGAAAATCATCCACGTTCCAAATTAACATTTAAATTTAGAAATGTTTCAATTGACGAGTTAAGAAAAGTTGTTACATCTCTCAGTAACACTAAGTCCTCAGGTTGGGATGAAATTCCTCTTTTTGTCATTAAAAGAGTTTTTAAATTTATAGAACATCCATTATGCCAAATAGTGAATCAGTCCCTTGAGAGGGGGGTTTTTCCTGATAAGCTAAAATTGGCTGAGATTAAACCTCTGTTCAAAGAGGGCGATGTCAACGATCCCTCTAACTACCGCCCCATCGCCCTTCTGCCTTGTTTTTCAAAGATTTTTGAAAAAATTGTAAAGATTCAACTAACAGAATATTTAGAAAGCAATAATTTAATAAATCCTTCACAGTTTGGTTTCCGCCCAGAACTCGGTACTGAAAAATCCATAACAAAAATGATTAACTACATTGCGGAAGCCTTGGATGGATCGCAGAAGACTGTGGGTGTGCTATGTGACCTATCCAAGGCTTTTGACTGTGTGAATCATGAGATACTCATAGAAAAATTAAGTATGCATGGAATAAAAAATACTGAATTAAAATGGTTCATATCATATTTAAAGACTCGAAAACAAAGACTTATTTTACAAAAAATGCAGAGAAATTATAAATCAGAGTGGAACATTAACCCCAATGGAGTTCCTCAGGGCTCCATTCTCGGCCCTTGTTTATTTATTATTTATGTTAATGATCTATGCAATGCTACTAAGATGTCCACCTTTCAATACGCAGATGATACCGCTTTAATATGCACAGGACAAAACAATGAGTTCATTCAAGCCTCAATAACTAAGGAATTTCAACTCCTTGGGGATTGGTTTGCAGTAAATGGCCTGTCCATGAATGTGGCAAAAACTCAACTAATTCAGTTTTCTGCATCCAATATTAACCAAGAAATAATTGTAAATACAAACTTAACTACAATTCATTCACAACAGTCAATAAATTATTTGGGAATAGAAATCGATTCACAACTAAATTGGCAAAAACACATTAAAAACCTATCAAAAAGACTACGCTCAGCAACATTTGTTCTCACAATAATTCGGGATACTACTAATCTAGAAACACAAATAGTAGTATATCACGCATATTTTTCATCGATTATGAATTATGGAATTACTGTATGGGGCTCATCAAGCCAGGCCAAAAAAATATTTATTCTCCAAAAAAGAGCTGTAAGATTAATGGCCAGAGTCTCCCGTAGAACACATTGTAAAGATTTATTTATTAATTTTAAAATTTTAACTTTTTTTAGCTCTTATATTTACAAATTGGCATTAATGGTTAAAAGTGATTTCGACACATTCATGGACTGTCAACAATCTCATCCACATAACACAAGATTCAAAAATATTATAAAACCAGTTCAACATAGGCTTAAAATCTTTCATTTATCCCCTCAGTATATGGGACCAAAAATTTACAATAAATTACCCGCTGGGATTAAAAACATTGCCTCATTCTCTAAATTTAAACTATCTTTAAAAAATTTCCTTTTGGAGAGGGCATTTTACTCGTTAGAGGAATATCTGGAAAATGAGTATATTTGAAAGATATTGCTTCTCCCATAGGTTTTTAGCTTATTATATGCTTTATTTCTTTTGTAAGCTATTTTATTTTAAAATGTAGTATAGTATTAGTATTAGACTTTGTGACAAATCACCTGTCAAGAGAATTGATGTAATGTGATGATGTTTAATAAATAAATAAATAAATAAAAAATTACGGGGGTTCGGATTAAAGAGGTTCCACTGTACAGTTGGATTAGCACAGAATAAGATAATTGCCTTTTCAGTTTCAAGATTGAAGATTTTTATTTAAGTTAACGTCGACTCATATCAATCATAAATCTATCTCAGGCTCAATTACATTTTCTTAGTATACCCTAGGCATATTTTACTGTTTTTCTAAAGAATCAAAATACCTAGGCCTAGACCTGATTATTTAGGAGTGCCTGTATAAATTTCTTTAGGTAACGAACAATGAGGTTACTAAAGTATCAATGTCACTGTCATCATTCTGGTTTATAAGATTTATATTGCATAAGGTGTACAACACAATAAAAATAAATATACAGTATATTTAAACCTAAAGCTATCAACATTATGAGAAATACCCCCGCCGCAGCAAACCTGCCGACTAAGCGAATTTCCATTTGTCTGAATTGATTTTCGGTTAAATATATTTTAATAACATTAGGTTTAACGAGTACCTAGGTTTGCTGCTACAAGGAAACTAATAAAGTGTGTTTTTGAGTAAAATATTGATAGCTTAGTACAAAATAAATAAATTTGCCAAGTTTGATCAAAATATATCCATAAACAAGCAAACTACAACATTTGACCATATTCTCCATAAGAATAACATGGGAATTTTAAATTTACAATTTTTGAAATTTTCTCCGTTACTAATAATCGAACAAAAATACTTTTATATACTAAAAAATTTGTTTTTTTAAGCTCTTTAAAAAGGTCTAAAGAGAAATCGGGAAATTTTGTGTTTTGAGGGTCAAAAGTGAGAAAAACCAATTTTTACCCCATAAAACAAAAGTTACCCCATAAAGTTGTTGTAAAGCCCCGTTCCCATGGTCCGATCGTGCTGGTTCGCGAACTCATTCAAGTTTATCCCGCTTTACACCTTTAAACCAAATTAGTTAAAGTTATCGCGTTCACGGACGTGTATATATATATATATATATATAAGTCTATATATATATATACATATATAAAAATTTGAACGAATGGTGTTTTTGGCCTCTGGGGACATCAAAAATGAAATAGTAAATCGGTCCCGGGTCTAGGTCTTACCGTGCCACCTACGGTAATAGCTACTTCCCTATAGGGAAATTCGCTAAAAGGTAGAGAAAATGCAATGTATGTGGTATTGTTTTGCAATGTATTCTGGTGATTTTAAACTTTAAGACCAAGTAGACCTGCATAACAATTTAAGTTAAGCCACTATAAACTACTGCGTAGCAACAAATGCTGGTATGGTATGGTAAGGGATTGTGTACAAGTTCACCTCCACCTGTGACATTTTGTATTGGTTTTCATAGGACAAAGACACCAGCAACCTGGAGTTGGTGCTGCAGTTGTGGCTGACATTGAATCTGGACAACCCTCTGATACGAGGCGACAGTCGAGCGTTGATGCTTCCATCATACCTATATTTGCTCTCAGTCCACCAGCTATAAGCTCTCTCATTAACGCCCTTGCCAAGTAAGACGTGTACTACCAATCTCAGTGTAAAACACCCCAAAAGATTTGTTTAGTTATGGGAATTAATAAATTTAAACAAAAGATTCTGTTGACCATGGTCAACTTACAGAGAAACTTTGAAGAAAACTCACATCCAGTAACACTTACCTCTTTCACTTATTTTTATTTTCAGGAACACATCAAATACATAATACATAATGCATAATACAGGGAGCGGCAGAAATATCTGACGGTTTTCAAGCGAGTACAGTCCGGCAGCCGAGTGGAGGGGGTGGTGGGGAGCGGCTCATTCTCAGGCCCTATTTCAGTGACCCCATTCAGTTGACCCCATTTCAGTGGCCATGGAGCAGTGGACCGGTATTCATCGCGCGTTTGTCGTTGAGGCGTATTTTAAAAGTGGCGATTATGTTGTTGATACGCAACGTAAGTTTCGTAGGCATTTTAATGTGACTCGTGGGGAACCTATCCCATCCCGAAACACCATCAAATTGTGGGTGGATACCTTAGATCCACAGGATCAACTGCAAAACGTAGGCCGTCCAAGGTCAGTGAGGACGCCGGAGAACGTGGAGCGAGTGCGACAAGCTGTGCTAACGAGCCCGCATCGCCCGGCGCATGGACAAGCTGCTGCTCTTGGCATGTCTGAGCGCTCTATTCGGCGAATTTTGCACTCAGACCTTCACTTTCACCCATATAAAATAGCATACAATAACAAAACTTAAGCAAAATTCCTCGAATAGAGCGATCAGACATGCCAAGAGCAGCAGCTTGTCTACGCGCCGGGCGATGCGGGCTTGTTAGCACAGCTTGTCGCACTCGCTCCACGTTCTCGGTGTCCTCACTGACCTTGGACGGGTATGCCTAAGTTTTGCAGTTGATCCTGTGGGTCTAAAGGTATCCACCCACAATTTGATGGTGTTTCGGGATGGGATAGGTTCCCCACGAGCCACATTAAAATGCCTACGAAACTTACGTTGCGTATCAACAACAGAATCGCCACTTTTAAAATATGCCTCAACGACAAACGCGCGATGTATACCGGTCCACTGCTCCATGGCGACTGAAATGGGGTCACTTGGCCTTGAGAATGAGCCGCTCCCCACCACCCCTCTCCACACGGCTGCCGGACTGTACTCGCTTGAAAACCGTCAGATATTTCTGCCGCTCCCTGTATAGACCCAAAGGGATTTGTTTCTCTATAATAAGACCTTTGGGTTTGTTTGGCTAAAGTGCACTTGGCAATGATGACAAATCTTTGTCTGGTCTAGTCCCTTATAAACATGTAGGCAGACTTAAACATTTTTGTTATGAAATTCATATTAAATATTAATACAGTACCTATATTTAATCTGTAAGAGAAAATAGACATAAACTTACCTTGAAGTCTTCATCAAATTAAGAAAAGGCTGATGAAGTATTGGTGAAGTTGTTCACTAATTCACTTACAAATCACTCTAACATCTTATTTTTAGTGAGTCGGTGGCTCAGTCGGTAGCGTCGCGGACTTCAGGCCCAAGGCAGCGATGTCGTGGGTTCGGATCCTGGTCACTGCCACTACAATTTATCAGTACAGTTCACCTTTGTACTGTAACGGCTCACTCCTTGCTTTGCTGTAAACGTTCCACGCTCAGGCGCTTAGTCTATGTGGACGGGCAAATGCAAGGTTAAAAGAGGCCGCCAACCTCTTTTATAAAAAAAAAAAAAAAAAAAAACAGCGTGCTATATTTGACTAATATATCCAAAATTACTTAAATTAACTACTATAGAAAAAAATAACCCTGCCTAGTGATTTGGGCTGGGTAAATACACACTGGGTAGGGTATTTATAAGTGGGTATACATGGATATTTACCCAGCAGTGGGTAAATACCTAAAAGTGTGGATATTTATAAAAAGTATTAACATAAGCAATGTTTTGCATAGTTAATTGGATTTTTCAGGTAAAAATGAGTAAAAAATCAATCGAATCTCAAAACCGAAACTTTTCCAAAGTTTTGATGGTTTTGAGATTTAAGATTTAAGATACTAAATGTAGATAATGACCTAGTCAGGAATTATTCTAAAACTTGTTTATTTGTTCCATTAGCAGGTCGGGAGTATCAGTGAGTGCTGGTGTCTGGCGTTTCAGACTCTCTCCTTGATATCAAACCTTCCCAGCGACCACACAGACAACAACCTCAACAACACACTGCAGCGCATGGCTAGTGTCATTGTTACAAATGTCAACTTTCCAAAACTACTTCTAGCCTTCCTCTCCAGCTCACAGATCAAAGGATGTGTAAGTGTGATTACCTTTACTATATAATGCTACTGCTCAGTGCTCAGTGCTCAGTGCTCAGTGATTGTCTAATGGTGTTGTGTGTCAGGCTGGGGTGTCGGTTTGCCAGAGCCTACATGAAATGCTGGTGAGACTAGAGATGCGTTGTGATGTGGTGTCCAGTGGCAGTGAGCTGGGTTGTCAGTTCAAGCTGCTGCTCCTGCGAGTGTTTGATCAGCTGGTGAGACCCAGTGGTGCCATCGCTCTACAGCAAGGTCCTCTCGACGCTCAGGCCAAGCTGGTGCAACTCATGCTGCATCTCGACTTCACCAACACCGACGTCAACACTGCTGCTAGTATACTGAATGCTGTCTGTAAGCAATGAAATAATAATCTTACATTTTATTTTTTACCTGGTGTAAATATTTAATTATATTTAGAATAAACTAGGGGTGGGTCGATTCCTCTTTTTTTCGATTCCGATTCCAATACCGATTTTTGCAAATCGATTCCCGATTCTGATTCCATCAATTTCTAATAAGTAAAAAAGTCCTAATGAGTAAAATACCATAGAAGTAGCCTAATTGAATAACAAAAAAAATCAGATTTTTCCCAACTCACCATTTAAAAAAAAGTACATTATTTATTTATGACTTTTTTAAACTCTATAATTTAATTATGATAACTGAGATTTTGTATTTTGTTATTTTAAAAAAATATACAGGCTACGATTCAACAGTCCAATCAAGCCTACAAAAACTATAATTTATATAATCAAAAATAAAATTTATATGGTTGTGTTTACTTATTTATATCACCGTTTCCTTTTCCCCTACCATTAATAATGTACCATTCATGACCCAGGCCTTGTTATAAGATTTTTAGTTGGTGGTTTTTAAGTTTTCTGTTAAAATTCTGTATTCTGAAAAATTGAATAATGATCTGTCCCTGCCGTAAATCAAGAAATAAAGAAATCCCAACCTCCATATCCTAAAATGAAAATAATTTTTACCTAACCCGCCATGTTAAACTTCCCTATCCCAAGCGTGATGTATATAACTTCGTTACTTCTCGAGTGATGTAAAGTTGAAAAAAACTCACTCGGTGATGTAATGAAACCCATTTAAATAACATTGAGTGCTTAAAAAAATATACCTCTATGGAGCCAACGACGTTCAACGCTAGAAATCAGCTGTGCGCTTGAATTTTATTGTTATGTTTTGAAGAATTTTCCTAACCTAGCTTTTGTTTGTAAATGAACGTTACCGTTACTGTTAGAAGATGAGTGAAATGGATAATGAAAAATATTGTTTGTAACCTCCTGTATATTGTCGGGTCAGGTAAAATCTTGTACGTTACGCAAGAGCGTGTTTACATCACTTCGGTAAATTATGCAACTCGCTTCCGCTCGTTGCACAACATTCACCTGCGTGATGTAAAAACGCTCTTACTACACTTGTAAGGTAAATAGCTATTTTGGCTATTTAAACCAACTTCCTCAACCATAACATCATTTTATGTTAGGTAATAGGCATCTAATTAATTGTGCCATACCAACGCCAAAACCAAGTCGTCCAAGTACAAAAATGTGCGTTAAGAAATGGCATGTTATTTTTGATGAGTGAAGGAAAAAGGAAAAATATCTCAGATGTGAAATTTAGCTAAGGTTGGAGTAAGCTCAAGACGAAAGTACCGATGGTGTGACAAAAAAATGGTCTAGGTAGGCCTACTTTTTACCACGACAAAAATATATGTCATTTTTTATGTTAGCCTCCGGATTACGTTGAATATATAAATTGGTTTAAATACCGTCTGGACGCCACATTTACCCAGTCGTGACGCATCATCCTTAAGTTACCATTAATTCATCTTATTCTCGTTGTAAATGTACCTTTTTTATGTAACTATGTCCGTGTTCGTGTGTGAATGTACCATGTGTGTATTGACGACCTTTTAATGAAGTGATTATTTTGACATCCAATGGACGCCTGAGGATGACATCTTCATGAAGTCAAAACTAGTTGAGTGACAGTAATTGCGACTATTGGATTGCTAAAAGCAGGTATTTAAACCAATTTATAACAATTATTGCTTCGCCTTTTTTAAAGTAAAATTTTATTTAAAGCCAACAAAATAGGGTTTTACACGGTTGTTGTACTTTCCAAGTAAGCTGGTTGAACCATAGACTAAACAACAAAAGTAGCCTTCTCATCCCATTGTAAACTATGAAGGTCGTTTTTCATGTCTAGTTCATGGTTGTAGGTAAACTTGTTAATTTTAAATTAGTTGATCGATTCAGTAGTATACTCTGTTAATAAAATTTTAAATAACATATTAATTAAATACTAAACATCAATTCAATCCACAGCCCTGCGTCGATTGGTAATCGTATTGTCTAAATTGTCGTGCCGCCCGCGTCTTTTCTAGTTTCAGTTTCACTGTCAGTGTCTGTCTATACACACACACAAACATGAACACAGACAATTACTTATTGCGATCAAGGTTAAGTCGGTCGATACCGGCAATGGTGGCAATAGTTGCTGTTGCTCGCACTGAACTAGAGCTACAACCGAAGGTAGCACTGAATGTGAGAATTGAGAGATGTTGGCCGCTATATTTACTAGGGGAATAGTACTTTGGAACTAGGGCATTGCAATTGCCAACAGCCAATGAGTGATTGATTCTTCTAGTGGTACCAACATGACAACGTTTTACAGTGTCTCGATTTTCTAGCAGAGTTGCCGTGCCAGAAAATCCATTTAGACCATTTGGATGTTTTCAGTCTACGACTATTTCGTTTCTTAAAAAGCAAGAGCGGTTCCCTGATTCCATTTACTTATCACACTTAGATACGATTAATAACTGAGAGCGCACGATAATTTTGGGCCGGCTATGCCGGTTGTCTGATCTGGAATTTAAACGAACAATAAAACATTGACCATGGCAACTTCCTTAAAATAAAAATATGAGTTTTTATATGGAATCGGTATCATGAATCGTGAGTAATATTTCAGAACTGGTATCGAATCGAGAAATTCTGTTATTGGCATATCCCTATTAAAATACAATAACATATTCGACTAAGACGCGTAATCTAAGCCATAGCCTTAAGTTTTGAGACCGAGTTTGGCTTTGTTCCAGCTATGCGTAGAACTGCTACCGATGTCGCTGTGCTGCTGCTTGTTATGAAATGTCCGAATGACCGAAATGACAATTATCGGTGTTGCCAAGACCGCAAGATTCTAAAAACTGATAGCTGAAAAAACAATTTTTGATAAAGATATTTTTTTTATTTTACCAAAAACTCGGTATGGATTGGTTATACTACATGAAACCCTGTCGTCTTTCTTTAAATTAATTTTGGGGTAATGCGGTAATCTTCAGGTAAAGATAAAATAAATGCAACAATGAAAAATTACTGATTTAGGCATACAGAAATAGTGTGCCTCAATCAATCAAAATTACTTTATTCGTATTGCACACATAATGGAGTAAACTATATTAACCTTTATTATTCTTATTATCAATTAATCAAATTTCAGGAAGTTGAAAAAAATCTTCTAATTTATACAAGGCTCTGTTAGTGAGAAATAATTTCAAAAGTTTTTTAAATGAATTAAAATTAGTTTTATTTTTTATATTGTCAGGTAAGCTATTGAAATATTTAACACCACTATAAGATGGGATTTTTTCGTAAACCGATAAACTATGTCTCTTGAACGCCAATTCACTACCTTTTCTGGTCGAATGCTTATGAAAAGAGTTCAATTTTGGCAATCTTTCATGATTTGATTTAATATAAAGGGCTAAAATAAAGGGGGATTTAATAAATGTATAAGCTAAAAACAGTCATAATTCCTATTTCTTTAAAGTGCTCTTTAGCGGATTCTTTTGATTTTGGTTTTAACATCATGCGAATTGCTTTTTTCTGAAGTTCTAGAATGCTATTTCTAGATTAAAATTTGATGTGCTCCCATAAATACACAACCCAAAAGATATGTGTGATTGAATTAAGGAATAATATATACTATTTTTAAGGTTTTTTTAAACTACTAAATCTTAAAATCTGTCTTAATGCATATTTGCCTGAATTGACTTTTTTACAAACGTTTTCAACATGACTGTCCCAGTTGAATTTATCATCTACCTATATGCAATCCAAGAAATTTTATTATTTTAACTTCATTTAGTAAAATTGTATCCATAAAAATATTAAACTCAGGCGCGTTTTTACTCGTTGAAGAAAAATTTATAATTAGTTTTTATTGGATTTGGTAATAAATTGATTTCATTTAAATATTTTATACATTTGGTAAGCTCAACTAAAGAAGAGAAATTCTTAACAAAAAATACTTAGCCTAACAACTTTTGTTGAGGAAGTATAAGTAATTAATTGGTTATGGCTATTTATGTGATCAATTGTGACCTGTAAGATAAGTCAGCCCTGAAGCTAAATTAAAAATCATTTGTCAGTTTTTTTATGAAATCCAGTGTTGACCTATACAGTGTGTAAATTAAGTATTGAAACAAATCTGTATTTTTGAAACCGAAATAGATAGAAATATTCTGTTTGTGGCAATAATTGTTAACAAAGGTTCCGCAATTTTTTACATCAAAAATATTTTTTAACCCCCCTAACAGGATAAGGGATAGGGGGTGACTTATTTTTTTCAAATAGCAACCCCATTGAGTGACCCCTCATTTTGAAGGGTTTGTCAAAAGAAACACAATGACGCAAATCCGAGGTGAATATCTCACCCCTAGCCAAAATGGCGGATATTCAAAAATGGGTGCTTTTTTACAAAAATTTAATTTTGGAATACCCGCCATTTAGGCTAGGGGTGAAATATCTACCTCGGGTTTACGCCATTGTTTTTCTTTTAACAAACCCTTCAAAATGAGCGGTCACTCAATAAGGGTTGCTATTTGAAAAAAATGAGTCACCCACTGTTAGGGGGGTTAAAAAAATATTTTTGATGTAAAAAATTGCGGAACCTTGTAACGACCCAAAACCCGTCAAGGGGTAAAAACCCGATTTTTAAAAGTTTCATTTTAAATATTATAATTGTCTACGTTCGGGGTAAGCCGCGCCCGCGTTGTCAGCGGCATCGAAGGGGCAGGAGTCCTACGTCATCGTAGAGGGGAGGACGCTAATTACCTACCCCGCCGCCAGGGGCGATGGCGAAGAAGGACCAGAAGAGCGGACCTCATAGTCAGTCGTCCACCCGCTACCGAACCGTTAGTACGCTTGCTGTTTGGAGACAATCCAACAGTCTATAACCTCCTAAATTCTGGTAAATTAAAGATTTCCCCCCATTCCTGGTAGAATCATAAGTCATCAGGTTGGTGTGCTACCGAATTTATTTTGTTTAATCTCATTTTTAGAGAAGTTTTATTATTTTTATTTTACTGTGCCGCAGTCGCGCGCACCCCGCACGCTTTTTCACGTACGAGCACACTACCTTTTGTCTTAAACCAGCTTCGGAAATCAGTTAAGTTGCCCGAACGGTTTACGTACGACTTACCCCGTTACCCCGGACCGTCCTACGTAAATTTGGTTTAAGAAACCCCGTACCGACTCTGGTGATCGACCGAGTTAAATTTTCCCCGACACGTTTACTTTGGTGATTACCAAGTATAACGACCGAGACTCGTTTTAGTTAAGTTTCTAATTAATTAGGTCATCCGCATTCTCGATAATTTATTCAAAATTCTAAATTTAACTTCACATATTTTTCGAGTGGCTATGATGAGCACTTGTTGAAGGTAAGCTTGACATTGTAAGCATTATTGTTGTATTTAATTCTGAGCCAATAAACTCGAACGATAATTAATTAACGAACACGTTAGAGTCCTGGACTATCTCATAGTAGGCTAAGCTATCTGGACAAATTTAAGGTGTGACGGAATTTCAGGTGAGACGGCAATTGCGTACTTTAAAATCTAATTTTGTCTCTCAACCCGAAATTTCGTCATAACCTTTGTTAACAATTATTTTTAACATGTTTAGCCTCTGGATCACGTAATTTACTAATAAAAAGGTTAAATACCTGTAGTACTGTCAGTGATCCTGGAATTTAGGTCAGCGACCAAGGTTTCGAACCTAAAGGTTCATTTTCAAGCAGGTACAAGTTAAAAACACATAATCCTCTTCATAACTGTGGAGAGTCGTTATAACACACAAGACACGAACACGAAAACACTAAACATTAAACAAAATTGGCCAATTATAATACTGGTACGGTAGCGTGCGTGGTGTAGCCGGCAAAAGATGAGTCATGACTGGGCACGCGTACGCGTCGATGTCGGAGCGTGACGTATGTGCCCCCTCCCACTCCCGTTGTCTTTGTCAGATCCTCGCCTTACACACTGACACTGCCATCTATCATATCTATTGCAGTATTGTACATTAATTTTGCTTCGAAGTATAATTTTTCATTGAGAAAATGGGTAGAACTGTTTTTAGATGATCGGTATATTTCAAACTCTTCGATGGTGTTCATATGCTTGCCTTTTCTGCAGTAATGCAATATGTCCAGATTGGTATCAATGTCGGTGTAATTATGGTTTGTGTCTATCGGATGGTTTGCGAATGCAGATTTGGTAGATTTTTTAGGCAGGTGTTTTTTTTAATCTTGGCGTAAACGAGCGAGCTGTTTGTCCAATGTAGTAGCTGGGACAGTCATTGCATTTAATTTTATAAATTCCTGTCTTATCAAAATTAGCAGTGTTTTGTACAATCCGTGGTTTTAGGAGATAAGATAATTTATTTGACGTTTTAAATGACATTTTAAAATTGTTTTTAGTCATTTCAGATTTAAGGCTATTGTTCAATACTGTGCCATATTCAGTGGAAACGTATTTCTGCTTATCTTTTGACACCTTAGGCCTACTTTCATTTTTACACCTTAGAGTTAGTCGACAAGTTATCAAAAATTAATTACAACCCACGATACAACATGGCCTCATTTGACATTGTTAACCTGTTCACTAATGTTCCAATCAACAAAACAATAAATATTCTTATTTTGCTAATTTTGATAAGACAGGAATTTATAAAATTAAATGCAATGACTGTCCCAGCTACTACATTATCTACCAAATCTGCATTCGCAAACCATCTGATAGACACAAACCATAATTACACCGACAATGATACCAATCTGGACATATTGCATTACTGCAGAAAAGGCAAGCATATGAACACCATCGAAGAGTTTGAAATATACCGATCATCTAAAAACAGTTCTACCCTTTTTCTCAATGAAAAATTATACTTCGAAGCAAAATTAATGTACAATACTGCAATAGATATGATAGATGGCAGTGTCAGTGTGTAAGGCGAGGATCTGACAAAGACAACGGGAGTGGGAGGGGGCACATACGTCACGCTCCGACATCGACGCGTACGCGTGCCCAGTCATGACTCATCTTTTGCCGGCTACACCACGCACGCTACCGTACCAGTATTATAATTGGCCAATTTTGTTTAATGTTTAGTGTTTTCGTGTTCGTGTCTTGTGTGTTATAACGACTCTCCACAGTTATGAAGAGGATTATGTGTTTTTAACTTGTACCTGCTTGAAAATGAACCTTTAGGTTCGAAACCTTGGTCGCTGACCTAAATTCCAGGATCACTGACAGTACTACAGGTATTTAACCTTTTTTTTAACAATTATTGCCACAACCAGAATATTTCTATCTATTTCGGTTTTAAAAATACAGATTTGTTTTAATACTAATTTACACACTGTATTACAATCAGGCAATCAATCCCCATTATAATTATTCAGGTCTGAAAATATGTGTAACTGAGGATCAGTCATAGTTCCTAATTTTATCATTACCTGTTATAATTTTTTAATGGTTACTAGTGTAGTTTTTTCACTTTATCATCTTAAAATATGTTTTGATTTTCCATTCTTCACGTCAATACTACTTTATACAACATTTTAAAATGCCTATTGCTCTTAATTTGGGCATGATAAGTTAGTTATTCATTGTGTTACTCAGCTGTCCTTGTCCACTCGTACATGATGAGTGGAGAGAACATTCGGTGGCGCAGCATGATGGAGAATGGCCTGAATCTGAGTGGGCTGTTGACTAGTGGCGCTACGGTGGCCAGTGCTGGAACCAGCAATAACAGTCGGCAGCGGCCTGCATCCTGGGACCTGCTAATCATAGGAGTTATACGTCTGGTGACCAACTTGCTGCATGTGCCACTAGAGGCTCCTCAGCCTAGCCAGACAGACGAGCACAAGGCAGCCAACACTAGACCTCCCTGTGTAGCTGACATGGGTGAGTCACAGTTTATGCATTTCCTTACATGCTTTCTTACTTACAGTAATAATATTTGTAAGTCATGTTTTATAAGTATATTTTTGAAGTTGTGAAGTGTGATCTGCTAATGTGTACATGTCTTTGTAGTGGTACAAGATGATAGCACCATGAACTGCCTGTTAAGCTCTCTGGGCATGTCCTCACCGGCCGCCATAGCTGACTCTTTAGAGCCTTCCTCTGTAGGACAAGCTGTGTTCCAGCTACTCTCCACATTAGCCCGTAAAGTCACCTCACCAAAGTTCATTCTCAAGCCAGTTGTTTCGTATATTGCCAGACGTAAGTGATATTCTTCAGTTTAGATAAACTTTATACAGTACAGTCCCTCAAACTCTGCGTAATGTGGACTGAAAGAGTGTTTGAGAAATAGCATGCCATTGAAAACAATGAAAAATTTAAACTGACACAACATAGCATTTATTTCTCAGTTCTTTTCACATGTATGTATAGAACTACATTCACTACAAACTACTACTAATTTTTGTCTTAGTTATTCTGTTATATTTTTTTTTATTTGATTGAACTGTAATATTGCCATAAGCTTTCTCTAATCATCGTAAGTAAATGTTTATAAGGGTTTTAGTATTTTATATCTAATGAATATAACCCAGTATACATGTTTGCAAATAATAATAATTTTTTTGTCTCTATTAAGCTACGTGTCTGAAAAATAGTCTTTCTAGATCCACAATAGTAAATATACATATATATGTATAAACAAGAAAATAAAAATATATGTATATGTAGCCTATATATACTTTTTCTATTTGTGTCATTTCAAACCATATATTAGTTAGTCAATGTCCCACAATCGGTTGATCTCATTGTTAAGGCAGTTACAAAAATACTCCAGAAGTCTGGGAATTTCAGTTTATTTTAATTCAATCATGATTCTTTTATCATTTAAAGCTAGTGATGGGCGGATCCAAGAAAATGTCGTACCGGATCCGGATCCAGATACACGCTGTCATAAGGTCGGGTTAAAAAAAACCTAATTGACAGAATGCCAATTTAAATCATACTTTTATTATTTTTTATCACGAAGCATCGGGTGGGATTGAAATACTAACGGGATATTTTCGAGACGAGATTATAGGCCGTTAGCTGATCATCCAGGTACAAAACTAAGAACTAGAGGTGTGCAGATATCCTAAAAATCGGGTCGGATTCAGTTTGGAAAGATACATGCCATTGCCATATATGTTATTTATTTGTATCAAGAGACAAACAAGGAAACATGGCCTTGCCATATAAGTTATTTGATCAAGAGACAAACACTGAGACAGGGCCTTGCCATATATGTTATTTGCATCAAGAGATGACCCTGAGACATGGCCTTGCCATATAAGGTATTTGCACCAAGAGACAAACACTAAGACATGACCTTGCCATATACGTTATTTGCATCAAAAGACAAACACTGAGTCATGGTCTTGCCATATAGGTTATTTGCAACAAGAGACAAACAGTGAGACATGGCCTTGCCATACAAGTTATTTGCATCTAGATACAAACATCGAGACATGGCCTTGCCATATAAGTTGTTTGCATCAAGAGACAAACACTAGGGAAAAACGGTCTTGTACATGGATACAGATAGCTTTGTGTTAGTAAAAAATCGGGGTTGTACAGTGATACAGATAGCTTTGTGTTAGGAAAAAAATCAGAGATGTACAGTAATACAGACAGCTTTATGTTAGTAAACGAATCGGGGTTGTACAGTGATACATATAGCTTTGTGTTAGTAAAAAAATCGGAGATGTACAGTAATACAGACAGCTTTATGTTGGTTAACGAATTGGGGTTGTACAGTGATACAGACAGCTTTGTGTTAGTAAAAACATTGGGGCTGTACAGAGATAAAGACAGCTTTGTGTTAGTAAACAAATCGGGGTTGTATGGTGATACAGACTGCTTTGTGATGGTAAAAAAATCGCGGATGTACAGTAATAGAAAGAAAAAAAAGAAAAAAGAAAGAAAGAAAAAAAACTTAAACATCTTAGTAATCTTATCTGCTGAGACCCTTTCATTGTAGCTATTGTAGCTTCTAGTTGCTTATTTTAATCTTTGGTTACATTAGGAAATTCTACTCTAAATTAATTTTGTGTTATTGTGTCCTAATTTTGTACATATTAACTTTTATGAAATGTAGTAAATGTTTTAATTAGACAATTAAAATCACTATTTATCCACAATATACCAGATAGCAGATTTAGAACTCTTTTTCCGCACACGGGCTTATGCCTATGCTAAAAAATATATTTATTTTTAATTTATATCTGTTTATTGTATTGTTTAAATTTTGGAAATAAACGATTTGACTTTGACTTTGAATACAGACAGCTTTATGTTAGTAAATGAATCGGGGTTGTACAGTGATACAGACTGCTTTATGTTAGTAAACGAATCGGGTTTGTACACAGTGACACAGATAGCTTTGTGTTAGTAAAAAAATCAGAGATGTACAGTAATACAGCTTTATGTTAGTAAATGAATCGGGGTTGTACGGTGATACAGACTGCTTTGTGTTGGTAAAAATATCGGGGTTGTACAGTGAGTGATCCAGACAGCTTTGTGTTAGTAAACAAATCGGGGGGAAATCGGTCTCTTACATGGATACAGACAGCTTTATGTTAGTAAGCAAATCGGGGTTGTACAGTAATACAAACAGCTTAGAGCTAGAAAAAACATTCGGGGTTTTACAGTGATACAGACAGCTTTTTGTTAATAAACAAATCGGGGTTGTACAGTGATACAGACTGCTTTGTGTTGGTAAAAAACTCGGGGCTGTACAGTGATACAGACAGCTTTGAGCTAGTAAAAACATTAGGGGTTGTACAGTGATACAGACAGCTCTTTTGCTAGTAAAAAAATCGGGGTTGTACAGTGATACAGACTGCTTTGTGTTAGTAAACAAATCGGGGTTGTACAGTGATACATACAGCTTTGTGCTAGGAAAGAAATCGGGGTTGTACAGTGATACAGACTCCTTTGTGTTTAGTAAACAAATCGGGGTTGTACAGTGATACAGACAGCTTTATGTTTAGTAAACAAATCGGGGTTGTACAGTGATACAGACAGCTTTATGTTAGGAAAAAAATCGGGAAAAAATTTCAAAAAATCGGATCCAGCCCAAGATCCGGAATTTTTTGGATCCGATCCGGTGCCGGTTCTAGCTCAGATCCGGCGGATACGGTAGTCCGATATCCGGATCTGACCATCACTATTTAAAACATGTCAGATAAAGGGAAAAATCTGTTTTGTGCAGAAAGAATTTCTCGTATCCGAAAGCCGCAGATAAGGCAACAAAAGCAGGCATTCCTACAGCCAATCCAGGCATGCCAAACGATACGCTAGCAATATCTATGGATGAGAATAATTATCAGGACAAACCTTTTATTGAATGTCAGAAATTTTCTAATATAGATGAATTTAGAAATAGTTTTAATAGTTCAGATTCACTTTGTAACCAAAAATTCAGTTTTAGAGTATTACAGTTAAATATTCGGAGCTATAATAAAAACTTTGACGAGTTTTTAGTTTTATGGCATGGTCTCTAGATAAAATTTCATTGTATAATTTTGACTGAAGTTTGGTTGAGGAACGACAGTGAGCTCACAGCCCTAGAAGGCTATACCCTGTTTAGAACATACAATAGCCTCAATCAATGTGGTGATGGTCTGGTTGTGTACTTAGATGACACGTTATTAGCAACATGTAACCAGATTTGTATTGGTGGAGTCGCCACCAGCTTGTCCATAGTTTTTACCTGGGCCAATATTGATTGTGAATTAATATGTATCTACAGAAGTCCCTCCTCGTCACTAGCTTAATTTAACGACGGTCTTCAAACATTTCTTAGTACGACAAACTGTCACTTAAAATTATCGCCGGTGACATTAACTGTGATATTTGTAATCCATGTTTAATTTCACAAGAGGAACGATACCTTGACTTGCTTCATGAATTCGGATTTATTCCATGTATAGATCAAATCACGCGGCCAGTTAGTGATACATGTATCGACCATTATTTTATAAAACTGCAAAACAGGCTGAGTGTCAATGCTTCTGTTTTACAAACTTACATTACAGATAATTTTATTGTTTCTCTTGAACTGAAAAGCATTACAGGTATTAGTAAGGTCAACGAGTTTACATACAAGAATACTAATTGGAAAAATATAACAGAAACCTTGAAATTTCAAAATTGGCGACAAGTTTTGAATTCAAATGACTTAGATGCAGCAACTATACATTTTAATTTGATTTTGCAGAATATCATAGAACAAAACACGTCCCAACAAATATTGAGAGCTAAAACGGCTAAATTAAAACCATGGATTACAAATGGTCTTCTTACTTCTATCCGCAATCGAGATAAATTAAGAAAGAGGGTTAAGCAAAACCCATTCAACACACAGCTCCGTGTTAGAAATGTCAGATACCGTAACTCATTGAAATCCTTACTAAAACGTGCAAAAATTGATTATTATAGAAATAAATTAGACGAGTCCCAGAGAAATCCAAGAAAATTCTGGGAAATTATTAATGATGTAGCGGGGCGTCCTGCTGGCAACGGAAATTTTCAGTGTGAACCGGGATACTGCCCCCACCAACGATATTAAACTCATTTGTGACACTTTCAACGAATACTATGCCTCTGTTGGATCTCAGCTAGCCGCTGCAGCCCGCCGGCCCCTTGGAGGTCGATGACGCTGAACACGCCACCGATTCCCAGTTCTCACTAAGGCCTGTCACCGTTGAGGAGCTTTTAAAAGTTATAAAAAGTATTAGAGGCAACTCTGCACCGGGATGGGATGGCATTCCCTCAAAATTTATAAAAAATAATGTAGACTCTCTCATTTTACCAATATTATACATAATTAACCTTAGTATACGGGAAGGGAAGTTCCCAGAGGTGTTTAAAGTTTCAAAAGTCATACCTGTTTATAAGTCTGGCCAAAAAAACCTAACAATAAATTACAGACCAATTTCATTAATTTGCACAGTGTCTACAATTCTTGAAAATGTGTAAAACTCCAGCTATCGGATTACCTTGAACAAGAGAAAATGGGATCACATCATTTGTCCAAGTTTTCAACTGTCCGAGTTTGCTAAAAATTACAAAATATTTGAAAAATCAATTGTCCGAGTTTTCATTTGTCCGAGTTTTGATAAATAACTAATAATAATTAGATAAATCAACTGTCCGAGTTTATTAAATTATTTTAAAAAATATCGAAATATCAAGTGTCCGAGTTTTCAACTGTCCGAGTATGGTTTAAATAATAATAATATTTGGTTGAATCGACTGTCCGAGTTTTTAAATTATTAAAAAAAATATTGAAATATCAACTGTCCGAGTAGGGTTAACATCAAATGTGACACTGCGCGCCGAGACTAGCGTGTCTATGGCGCCTGGTCAGAAGCCAATGTAAACCTCTTCTGCGAAGGAGTCAGGCATTGTGCAAGCCACGAGAGCCTCTCACGTCGACTTAAGAAAAATTATATTATTTTTATTATAAGACTAATTTTACAATTTTTAATTATAAAATTAAACTGTCATCACCTAACACAACCAACCAAACTTACTGATAATATAAAATACCCCCGCCGCAGTAAACCTGCAGACGAAGCGGTATTTCAACTTGTCTGATTACATATTTACTCAAATATTTCCATAAATAAGCGAGTGCTTAGGTTTACTGCTAAGGGGAAGGTAAACAGTGTTTTTTGACCATACATCAATAGTATAGGATAAAATTAATAAAATTTCCAAATTTGATCAATATATATCCATAATCAAGAAAACTAAAACAGTTTTCATCTTCTCCATAAGAATAACATGAGCATTTTAAATTTGCATTTTTTTTTTATTTTCTCCGTAACCATGAGGCATACAACAAAGCTTCAATATACTAAATTATTTCTTTTTTTAGTTGTACAAAATGGTTGAGAAATATATTCCAAAATGTTATGATTTTAGGGTCAAAATTGGGAAAATCCCATTTTTACCCCATAAACCCCCGTTCCCATTGTCCGGTCAAAAAACTCTGTTCTTAAGTCGACGTAACTGGCTCTCGCGGCTCGCACAATGCCTGACTCCTTCTCAGAAGAGGTTTACATCGGCTTCTGACCAGGCGCCTTAGACACGCTAGTCTGGGCGCGCAGTGTCACATTTGATGTTGACCCTACTCGGACAGTTGATATTTCAATATTTTTTAAATAATTTAAAAACTCGGACAAATGAAAACTCGGACAGTTAATTTAACCAAATATTATTATTATTTAAACCATACTCGGACAGTTGAAAACTCGGACACTTGATATTTCGATATTTTTTAAAATAATTTAATAAACACGGACAAATGAAAACTTGGACAACTGATTTTTCAAATATTTTGTAATTTTTAACAAACTCGGACAGTTGAAAACTCTGACAAATGAACCTCACCCGAGAAAATTATGTGTGACGCGCAGTACGGATTTAGACAGAACCGCAGTACAACACACTCATTATTTGAAATAACCAAATTTATTTCTGAAGAAATAAATAATAAGAACGTGTATTGATAACATTCCTAGATTTGGCTAAAGCATTTGATTCCATTAACAGACAATATCTAATTTCTAAATTGAGACTAGTTGACATCGGTGGTCATTCATTAAACTGGTTTATCAGCTATTTAGAAAATCGTTTACAATATGTGTCCATCAACGGTGTTGATAGTGATGAAAATAGCATTGACTATGGAGTGGTCCAAGGCAGTACACTCGGGCCCCTCCTATTCTTGATATATATTAACAACCTTTCAAAAGTCGGAACTAAAGGGAAAGTTTTTTTGTTTGCTGACGACATGGCCATGGTATTGTCTGGACGCACGTGGGACGAGGTATATGAACATGCTTCTACAGACATTTATAAAATTAAACGCTGGTTAGACCAAAACACGTTAACCCTTAAGATAAATAAAACAAAAAGCTTACCAATATTTTTAAGAGTGTAAGTGACCCTAGCCCTAGGCAACTATTTCTTCATACCTGCGGCGACTTTCGGTCAGCGGCTTGTACTTGTGACGTCATAGTGCGGGTAGAGAAGTACACTTATCTAGTAATTATAATTAATCAAAAATTTAGTTGGGCTCACCACATTCATTATCTCAAACAACGACTTAGAAAGCTCATATATGCATTTTCTCAACTTGCTGGTGTTCTGACCACGGATTACTGTAGGACAGTTTACTATGCCTACGTGCAGTCTTTGCTTCAATATGGTATACTGGCGTGGGGCGGTGTCTCAGCCTCTATGCTTGAGCCTCTGGCTGTTGCGCAGAGGTCATTAATCAAAACCGTCCTAAACAAACCATCGAGTCATCCAACAGAGGATCTGTACTCAGATTTTCGTGTTCATGATATACGACAGTTATTTGTTAAAACTCTTTTAGTCTTTATTAGGTCAAACAAAAACAACATTTTTACCAATTTGCAGCATAACTATCCCACAAGACATAGAATCAACTTTGGTTACCAATTTCCTAGATTAAATATAACCTCCCTAAAAAGTAACCCATATTTTATGGCCCATATCTTATATGGCATCTTCCGCCACAAATCCTGCAGTATGAGGAGAGCAGTTTCCCGGTGTACAAAAGAAAGGTGAGTACATGGCTTGCCAGCATTGGCCGGACGGCTACGGAGGCGCTGATAAAATCCCCATATAATTGAGCTTATTAGAAAAAATGTAAAATGTTAGTAAACTGCTGAGACCCTGGCATTGTAGATACATTTTTAGTTGTTAACTTAATCTTTTGTTACTTTAAGAAATTCTACTCTGAAATTACTTATTGTGTTATTTTGTCCTAATTCAATTTAGTACATGTTAACTTTTAAATGATGTTTTATTTAATATCTACTTATTTTTAAATAAATAAATATAGGATGGAGAGGACACAGCTAACTCACCTGATGAAAGGTTGCAGACGAGTCAAAGAACACATAAAATCACACACATAATATACTTAATATTTCGCCTCTTTCAGAGGCTTCTTCAGAAGTAGGCCTAGATGGTGGTTACAAAACAACAGGTTGTTTTGTAACCACCATCTAGGCCTACTTCTGAAGAAGCCTCTGAAAGAGGCGAAATATTAAGTATATTATGTGTGTGATTTTATGTGTTCTTTGACTCGTCTGCAACCTTTCATCAGGTGAGTTAGCTGTGTCCTCTCCATTCTATATTTATTTATTTAATCCAAGCTAAATGCTTTTTCCTAAAAACATACTACTTATTTTTAAGGAATAGTCACCCAGTTAAATATATTAATACATGCTTTACTTAGACAAATAAAATTATTGTATATCTAGAATGTAACAAATATTGTTTATAGCAGATCTAGAACTCTTTTTCCGCACACGGGCTTATGCCTATGCGGAAAAATATATTTCTTTATAATTTGTATCTGTGTATTGTTTTGTTTAACTTTTGGAAATAAACGATTTGACTTTGACTACACCATAACAACGAAATATTTCAATCCAACTCGTTGAAATAAATACTAGGGATGGACGGGTCCCGAAATTTCGGGAATTTTTCGGGAAAAAAATATTCCCGATTATCGGGACGGGATTACATTTTAATCGGGAATTTTTCGGGACGGGATTTGGTCCGATCGTCGGCGATTTTGCCGCTTTGCGAGTGCCGATGACGCCGCTATTGCGAGCGCAGGAGACGAAGTCATTTCGCCGTGACCGCGGAGTCCTACCGACGATCGCGCTGTGACCGCGGAGACATGCCGACGATCATGCCGTGACCGCGAGTCATACCGACGATCCCCCCTTGACAGCGGAGTCATACCGACGATCGCGCCGTGATAGTGGAGTCTTACCGACGATCGCGCCGTGACCGCGAGTCATACCGACGATCGCGCCGTGACCGCGAGTCATACCGACGATCGCGCCGTGACCGCGGAGTCCTATCGACGATCGCGCCGTGACCGTGGAGTCCTACCAACGATCATGCTGTGACCGCGAGTCATACCGGCGATCACCCCGTGACCGCGGAGTAATACCGACGATCACGACGTGACCGTGGAGTCCTACCGACGATCGCGCCGTGACTGTGGAGTCCTACCGACGATCATGCCGTGACCGCGAGTCATACCGACGATCGCGCCGTGACCGCGGAGTCCTATCGACGATCGCGTCGTGACCGCGAGTCATACCGACGATCACGCCGTGACCGTGGAGTCCTATCGACGATCGCGCCGTGACCGTGGAGTCCCACCGACGATCATGCCGTGACCGCGAGTCATACCGGCGATCATCCCGTGACCGCGGATCACGACGTGACCGTGGAGTCCTACCGACGATCGCGCCGTGATAGTGGAGTCTTACCGACGATCGCGCCGTGACCGCGAGTCATACCGACGATCGCGCCGTGACCGCGGAGTCCTATCGACGATCGCGCCGTGACCGTGGAGTCCTACCAACGATCATGCTGTGACCGCGAGTCATACCGGCGATCACCCCGTGACCGCGGAGTAATACCGACGATCTCGACGTGACCGTGGAGTCCTACCGACGATCGCGCCGTGACTGTGGAGTCATACCGACGATCACCCCATGACCGCGATCATTTTGACGATCGCACCTTGACCGTGACCGCGAGTCAAAAGTTTCTATAGGTACCTGTATATTATTACCCAATTTTTTGGTTTTTATAGATCAGTACCACAAACGGTAAAAATTGATTTTGTATGTCTTTTTTTGGTAACTGCAGTATGACTCAAGACTTTCTTTTTATGCACAGAAAAAATCCTGTCCCGTCCCGTCCCGAACTAAAAATTCAATCCCGTCCATCCCTAATAAATACATTAGTTAATTTTTTCATTAAGTTGATGGTTATGGTTCTGATTAACAAACTGACTGGCTAGATGCTAAAGATTCGGTTGTTAAGTATGCATGACCAAGGATTGCTCACAGAGCGTAGGGTTCTATGGAACTGACATCAGATTGTATGTGTGTGACAGACAACAGCGGGTTGTCAGAGGGATTGTTGTCGCTGGTGCTGCGTGTTCTGGATGGTGCAGAAGCTCTACAGGAATGGTTGTCTCTGGGAGCTGTGGAGGTGGTGTGTGATAACCTGGTGAGAACCAGTGATGGACCTAGCACAGTGTCTGTAGTCATGCAACACCTCAGTCTGCCATTGCCACTGCCACCACACAACAAGAAGACTGCGGACATAGCCTCTGGTCTGCTCAACTTTGCTCCATTTGGTAAGCACCTCACCAATAGCACCAGGACAGAAAAATTCAAACACTTTTTTAAAATAAGAAAATCTAATAGATGATAAGCCAACAGTATCAACGCTGTAACGTAAGGTTTCTTAATTAAATAGGTTTAAAAACTTATTTAAATCTTCCTTGAAACTAAAATCGCTTGAAATAATTTTAATACTGGTTTAATTTACCTCTGTCAATATGGTCCTTGCGTAGTTTGTCACTACTGCAGTTTCTTAGAAAAATTCATAGAAAAAACTACATACTACATTCATATAAAAAAAGACATAACCATCTTCTTGAAATAATTTACTTATAGTTAAGTTCCTGAAGTTAAATTTAAGAAAAATAAATACGGTAGTGCAGTTATGTCTTTTTATTAACACCAGTTAAAATATACAGTGGTGTTGATAGGTAATGTACCAGTGCAGTAGGGTAAATTTAGTAAAGAAAATAGAGATGGGCGTTATTTAACGTAACAGGATGAATAACACTGTTCACCCTCAAGCAGGCACTTCACCAGTAAAACAGCAGCGGACGCATGCAGAGTTTTTTCTGCAACACTGAATACTGTAGCACAAATTTTACCTATTTTACTTGTTGTTATAATACAATATTGTATGCATATGTTGAATAACCTAATTTCATTGTTAATAACATTATTTTTTCAGCTAAATATGAGTAATATTTCAAATAAACATATTGAACAATTTTTTAGTTTTATAGGTTTCACTGTCGGTGTTACGAGAGCATGCGGAGTTTTATTCTGCAATAATGCAATTATACATATGCAAACAAAATATATTTGATGATAATTATAAATGAAATAATATATTTAAACATGTTTATATTTTTGAGGTATAAAATATACACACAGTCATTCTACCTGGAGTTGGCTTGCGTCCTTTAATTGGTTTAAACTTTTTGAAAAGTGGTGTTGTGATGGGGCTTAATTCCACAGGAGGCTCGTCTGATGTAACTATGGTTGATGTTGTTGGGGTAGTGAAGAGTGATCTACGGGAAGTTGATGGTTGACTCGCTGTCGCAGCCAACTGTGATGTGTTACTGGTTGCTTGTGCGGGGGTGTGTTGAATGTCAAGAGATAGCGAGAGCTTGGTCGGAACAGCGTTCTGATTTAACTTAGTTTTTAAGGAACTTGTAAAACATTCGTCTGTAAAGTACAGTTCAGACACCACTTTACGGTTTAGCGTCGTAGGAGCCAAGCATGATAGGTGTCATTTGCACAGTAGACAATCCATTGTTCACAAATATCTGCCCTTTTAATAGGGAATGTAAAAAAACGCAGGGAAGGATTGCGACCATTCGTGTTGCTGTAGTCAGCAAAACAACACCTATGTTGTCTTGGTATCACATCATTTGTCCGAGTTTTCAACTGTCCAAGTTTGTTAAAAATTACAAAATATTTGAAAAATCATTTGTCCGAGTTTTCAACTGTCCGAGTTTTGATAAATAAATCATAATGATTAGGTAAATCAACTGTCCGAGTTTTCATTTGTCCGAGTTTATTAAATTATTTTTAAAAATATCGAAATATCAGGTGTCCGAGTTTTCAACTGTCCGAGTATGGTTTAAATAACAATAATATTTCGTTAAATCAACTGTCCGAGTTTTCATTTGTCCGAGTTTTCAACTGTCCGAGTAGGGGCTACATCAAAATGTGACACCGCGCGCCGAGACTAGCGTGTCTAAAGCGCCTGTTCAGAAGTCGATGTAAACCCCTTCTGTGACGGAGTCAGGCATTGTGCGAGCCGCGAGAGCCCCTCACGTCGAATTAAGAAAAATTATTTTATTTTTATTATAAGACTAATTTTACAATTATTTATTTATTATAAAATTAAACCCTCATCACCTAACACAACCAACCAAACTTGCTGATAATATAAAATACCCCCGCCGCAGCAAACCTTCAGACGAAGCAAATTTAAACTTGTCTGATTACATATTTACATAAATAAGCGAGTGCTTAGGTTTGCTGCTACGGGGAAGGTAAACAGTGTTTATTTGACCATACGTCAATAGTATAGGATCAAATAAATAAAATTTCCAAATTTGATCAACATATCCATAAACAAGAAAACTAAAACAGTTTTCATCTTCTCCATAAGAATAACATGGGAATTTTAAATTTGCATTTTTTTTATTTCCTCCGTAACCATTAGGCATATAACAATGCTTCAATATACTACATTATTACTTTTTTTAGTTCTACAAAATGGTTGTAAAATATATTCCAAAATGTTGTGATTTTAGGGTCAAAAATGGGAAAACCCCATTTTTACCCCATAAATCTTCGTTCCCATTATCCGATCGCGCTGGTTCGCTGGGTCGAATAAATGTATGTTTACACGTTTATACCAAATATCATCCAAATCGGATCACTTTTGTTCGAGTTGTCGTGCTAACGGACACATATTTATTATTAATTTGAACATATATGGTGTTTTTGGTCTCTGGGGACCTCAAAACGCAAAAGTGAATCGGTCGCGGGTCCAGGTCTTACCGTGAGACCTTATTCCCTATACGGGAAATTCACAAAAAAGATATAAAATAAAAATCTAATATATAAAACAAATTGTCGCTACACAAAATAACGATAAATGCACAAATTTAAGTTACAATCTTGCTGACACGATCCGTCATAGCAACACAAAACAACGATAAATACACACATTTAAGATACAACCATACTAACACGATCCGTCTTGGGGGTTATGTTTACACAAACTCAAATAGAAAAAAAAGTGCTCAATGCGTTTCATTGAATTGAAAAATAAATAACCGCAATTAAATTATACAGCTGATCAAAATTTAAGCAATTAAGTTCTCCATAACGATAACATGGGAACCTTCAAAGCCACTGGGGCCAGGGCCCATGGGGCTATTTCAAACATGTAAGGCCAGTTTGCAAATCTACGCGACACGCTCTTTCCAATGAGACGTCAATGGATAAAATCGGTTAAGAAATGGCGGAGGAGTTCAACCAACAAAATTTCATGTAGCGTTATATGGATAGAAGATCCTCTCGCACAATGCCTGACTCCTTCGCAGAAGAGGTTCACATCGACTTCTGACCAGGCGCTTTAGACACGCTAGTCTCGGCGCGCGGTGTCACATTTTGATGTTGCCCCTACTCGGACAGTTGAAAACTCGGACAAATGATATTTCGATATTTTTTTTTTTTAATTTAAAAACTCGGACAAATGAAAACTCGGACAGTTGATTTAACAAAATATTATTATTATTTAAACCATACTCGGACAGTTGAAAACACGGACACTTGATATTTCGATATTTTTTTAAAATAATTTAATAAACTCGGACAAATGAAAACTCGGACAGTTGATTTATCTAATTATTATTAGTTATTTATCAAAACTCGGACAGTTGAAAACTCGGACAAATGATTTTTCAAATATTTTGTAATTTTTAACAAACTCGGACAAATGAACCTCACCCGTTGTCTTTTGTTGAAATCAGGATTTTCCATTGTTCACAGTTCTTAAAAAATATATATTCACAATAAAATAACACATCACACTAACGAATACTAATAATAAAAACCTAAGGAAACACTTACTGCTAATATTATTATTTTAAGTATATGTTTAACATAATAACAAACTATAATCGTTAAAGTCACACATCACTCTCCGCACTACAACTGGGGGTAGCTGGGAGCGGGCAATAAAACGTGCTAAAAGGATCGAGTGAAAGTAGACTTAGAAATAGGTAGACACGTCTACTCATATCACAAACAAATTGTCAAGTTAGGGAAGAAGATTGGGAAACATGTTAACATTAGAGTGTTTGATAGTAAAATTACACACAAAAGGTCTAACATATTTCATACTCAAAACTTACCTGTTCGCTATAATCTTTAATTTTTTTGAAGGTAAACATTAAACAATGTCTTTAACTAGTAAACAGCTATAACTTGAAGAAACAAAATCTTAATAATTTATTGGGACAATCTAACACGAATATGAATATTTTATATGTATATGCATGAGTTTGATGACGTAATCAAATCTTCCCCTGGCACCCTCATGAATAGTTATTAGTTATAGAATGAGTAACAATAACAAAAATACAATAATGCAATAACTTTAGCGAAGAACAAGAACTATGTCTTGTTACCAAACCGCATTGAATCTAACAGCAAGGCGCAACTGTGTAAATCGTGAGTTCCACGACTCTTGTAGATTCTGGAGTAGCGTTTTTTTTCACTGTTCGTTTTTTTATTTTTATTAAAAACACTCCTGTACTCATGTCACAGTTTAAACGTGTGTAAACCCTCGTTGGTCGGAAGCTTCCCGTTCAATTTAATCGTGAACTTTAAGCTAATTAAGGACTAGGAAAGGGTAATGAGTGTAAACACCGAAATAATTAAAAATAGCTAGGTTTTCTAACCAGAAAGTAAATTTTATTACAAACTATTTTTAAAATGGTCCAATAAATTAATGTCGTGATAGTGGGATTTAATAGTTTAAAATAGAAAATATTTTTTAATTTTAATGTGGAATACTCATTTTCAACTCTGTACATAAAATAAAAATGTCCTAAAATTATCATTTTATCTGTTTTAATTTTAATTATATTTTGGCCCCATTAACAATAGTCAATAGTTTTATTAGCTAATCAAATTAATAAAAATAATAAAAAAAACAAACACAACTAAATTTGTTAAGGACGGGTATTTTTCAGCAAGCCTTGTCCCAGTAGTGGATCAATAAAGTCGACAGTATAAAGTGGACGCGCCTGCTCTGATAATGAGCATTGTTGAACGACACAGCTGTTGGTAGTTCTTGTCTTGGATCCCACACAACTTCACAACATGAGTGCTAGCTGCTAGTGATAACATTCTTTCAGCATTCCAGCCCCACGTACAGCGAAATTTCCTGGCTTCAACTGCTACCATGGACTTGGGAAGTCTAGTTACAGTATATATTCAATGCTACAATCTAGTTTTCTTTTCTTAATCACTTAAGTTTAACCAACCCACACTATTGCAAATCAGTTTTAAAAATTAAAATGCAGATATTATCTTATTTTAAAAATAAAAATAAGTAATATAAAATGAGGTACCGATGGTACCAGAACCAAGAATCGATTTTGGTTAGGAACTGGTACCGACTTTAAAAAAATGGTATCGACCAATCACTATTTTAAATATGTGTTCATACATTTTAAGCATAAGCACTAGTTACCAATGTTTTTTTGTCGGGTATAGGTTGTATCAGCTCCAGCAACCCCACAGCCCAACCTGCTGATGTGTTGATACAGTCCACTCCACCACACAGGAGGGCCAGGGCTCCTGCATGGTCGTATCACTTCTACCCTGACGAGAGCTGGGTGGAGGTGACTATCACCTTGCCTTGTGCTGTACTGCTCAGAGAGGTCCACCTCCAGCCTCACCTCACCTCACTGGCCAGTCAGTAGACAGTACTTAGTTGAATGAGCCACTCATAGAACAAGTGCCTTAACATTTCAATTGAAACATTCAAACATTTGTCTTATGATATTATTTTTTAACTTAATTAATACCCATGTAGCTATTTCTCATTCATGTTTGAAAAACAATATTCTTCTTAGATAACAATATTTTGGTCAAGTGAATTTTTATTCTTTCTTTTATATAATTGTACTATTGCTTAGGATGGTTCACTATTATTATTATAAATTGAAGATGTGCCATTAAAAGTTATAAGAAAAATGTTTAACATACGATTTACCTTTAAATAAGTCCATAGAGACACATAACACATCACAAAATTAAAAGTAGAAATTTTCGTGGTCACTGACCACTTTTTCAACCACTGGAGATTGGAGAAAATCTAATTTTCTAAGATTTTCTCCAATCTCCAGTGGTTGAAAAAGTGGTCAGTGACCACGAAAATTTCTACTTTTAATTTTGTGATGTGTTATGTGTCTCTATGGACTTATTTAAAGGTAAGCCTGCTTTCCTGTCAATTTCCTTAATAATTCCTGGCAAATGCCCTATCCTTTTATAAGATAACATACGATTTAAGTTGTAAAATCAACATTGAAAGGAGTGCCATTAAAGTTGTGATGTTGCACAGCATGCCCCAGCGCTGTGGCTGTGGAGGTGTCCCCAGATGGACGTAGCCCATTGGTACCTGTCAGTCTACCGCTAGACTCCAGTGGCCTTACTTTCATCCGTCTGCAGCTACCTCAGCCCGAGGTGGTGACTACAGTGTTGTTGAGGCTATACAAGCCTCGTGACTCATCTAACATCGGCCTGTCTCAGATACGACTCTTGGGCAACACCACCTTCAACGACCCCACTGCCTCCGACGACACGGACCAAACCACTGTTAGGTTGGTTACCAGGGTTTTACGTTCTGTTTTGCATCTAAAGTCATCCATTACTCAAAGAATTTTACTTCATTTACTTATACTGTATCTATAGTACTATTATATGGTAAATAATAAAATTAAAATAAGGCACTTCATTCAAACAGGTTCTCTCTCTCCCTACTCAAAGGAAGCCTTTAATTTAAAATTAAATTAAAACTTTATTGAACAGTTTTACATACTCCATTGATCCTAGTATAGATCAGTTTTTTTTCTTCTGTCATGCCAAATTTGTAATGTTTCATTTACCTGAATCTTTATCTATCAGAATCTGTAAAAATATATTCAGTAAGTGAATAGAAATCGATCCCTTTGATAATGTATGACCTACTCTTTTATCCTGAGTCCTTACTCTTACTGTTTTAGTTACAAGAGCAACAGCAGTATGGTGTGGATACGGCTGCTGCACCACTGTATGACAGTGTGTGGGGAGTGTGCGCTGCAGACTGCAGTGATCAGTTCTGCAGTCAAGGTGGGCCCTGCACTGCTGCAGGCGTGCTGCGGACTATTGCAGGCTCCCACACCAGCACTAGAGCATGTGTTGTACACTCTGGGCACTCACCAGCCTGACCTGGGCCTGCAGACTATCAATATACTGCTCAATACACACACCTCTCAAGGTAACGCATGATTACTTACAAGCTGTAGAAAAGTAGTATATTTCTTGAGAAAATATTAACTAATTTCCGTGGCTCATTTTACACTGTTTTTTTAGTTATAAAAATTTTAGAATACATATGATTGTTGTAATATTTACCACATAGGAGATGCCTTAATCACAAAATAATCTAGTGCTGGTTAAGGCTGTACTACGGGATTTTGAAAAAATTTGGAAAGCTTGAAATCAACCAGGAAACTATAGCATCTGTCATAACTCCTAAAATATATTTCTGTGTGTGAAAAAAATAAGGATTACTTCTATGCAAAGTCTTTTTCAGAGTATACTTATTAGTCTGGTAACCAAGTATACTAGCAAAGATACTGTAAACATATTCATATTTTAATTAAATTCTTAACCGAACCATCGACACGCTTGCTGTTTGGAGACAATCCAACAGTCTATAACCTCCTAAATTCTGGTCAATTAAATATTTCCCCCGTTCCTGGTAAAATCCAAAGGCATCAGGTTAGTGTGCTACCGATTTTATTTTCGTTTAATCTAATTTTTAGGGAAGTTTCATTATTTTTATTTTATTGTGCCGCAGTCACGCGCATGTTAAAGGTAAGCTTAACGTTGTAAGCATTATTGTTGTATTTGTTGTATTCTGAGCCAATAAACTCGAAACGATAATTAATTAACGAACACGTTAGAGCCCTGGACTATCTCATTGTAGGCTAAGCTATCTGGACAAATTTAAGGTGTGACAGAATTTCAGGTGAGACGACAATTACTTATTTTTAAATTGAATTTTGTCTCTCAACCCGAAATTTCGTCATAACTGACTCAAACTGGCGAGTTCAAAGATAAGCTCGAGTTTCAAGGCCGTACTCTACTCGAACTCGAAATCTTGAATACTCGCACATCTTGAACCGCGCCCTCGTACCTGCACCCAGGCCAACGACTTGGAAGTGTGAATCCATGTGCAGGCCCAAGGAGCGGCCCACCAAAAAAAAACAAAGTGAGAACCATGGATGGAGGTTCAAGAACTACGCACTATTTGAGAGAAACGAGCTGTAATTAACCATTTAAATAAACAACAACAAACATTAACAACAATACCTACATGAATTACCTTTGAAAAAAAAACTTGAATAATTTCTTTACCCACCTCGCCTACTAACTTACAGTTATTTCTTTAATCATCAAATAGGCTAATTTCAAAATCAGACTTTAAATAACTTTATCTTTCAAAGAAATTTAAATATTAACAAAATTACAATAATAAAATCTATATATATAATACGCTAAGCCGATTTTTGTAAACAGAACTCCTCCCTCATTTTTGGACCGATTTTGATGATTAAAGTGTCAAAAATAATGGCCCTGATCTGTAGTTTTGCAAAGTGTTTTTAGTTTTTTGAAATCTTTATTAGTTTGGGAAGGATCTTCCATCAAAGTTAGGTTTACTCCCATAAGATTAACATGGGAGAATCTAAATATTTTAATTGGAAACTTTGTCTCCACTAATTTGAGAGAACGGCTGGGCGTAGAAACTTGGTAGAGGTCTCCAAAGAAAGGCCTTGATCTGTAGATAAAGTTAAGTCCCTTAGGGCTCTGCCCCAGAAGCCTTTAAAGATCCCTCCACTGATTTGTTAACATTTTGGCCATGTGGAAAATACTTTTTAATGAAACAGCTGTTAATTTTTAAATTGTGTTTTAAACAACACACATTTGGGAGTTGAACATTTGGGGGTTACAAACACTAATGTTACACCACAGTTTACATAAAATAAACATAACATAACATGGTTGTGAGTTGGTTGGGAGTTGTCCAAAAGAAGTATTTGCAATGCTATTTTCTGATTTTAAAATTGATGTTCTTTTGTATCATGTCATATTTTGCAATCTAACGTTCCATTACAAAATCAGTGGAAATTCCTTTTATCACAGAACTCTTACAATAATTTCTTATTGAACTACTAATATCTGTTGTACGGGTTGTTGTCTGCCTTTTTCACCACTTTTTCCTACATTTTATCATATTATTCTACAGATCATCATAGGTTCATGAGATTATTGTCATACAAGTTTACAATCATTAGAAAAATATTCGAATGTGTAATACAAGAAAAAATAATACCAGTGCAGAAGGGCACGTTTCCCATTTGAGCCGTGTCCATATTTTGTTACATTAATAGTAGTTTACAGCAACTAGATCAAACATTTTACAATATTTATGTAGAAATATGTGCACGATTTAGAAAGTCATTAAGCTGTAAATCTGCAATTTACTACAGACTTTTTTCCATAAGCATTTGAATTAGGTAACAATTATTTAGGGGCCCCAAAAATCTGAATGAATCTAAAATTAAAAATTTTAAAGGCTTTTGACATAAAATCTGAAAAACAATAACAAGGAATGTAGTGAATAAAATTTAAAAAGCAATAACACTTAATAAAGATTGTGAAGGCCTATAAACATAACTGTAAATAGAGTCTCTTCCTTGTTTTTTTTTTTTTTTTATAAATAAAAATCTATAAAACTTAACAACAGGCGGTAACTTGCGGTTTTGCGGTAGAGTTTTGGGCTAGGTCTATACGTTCAGCACCGAAGGGGGAAGCAAGCAGGGCGGAGAGGGGGCCATAGTTCAAGATGCAGCCAGGGTGTTGCAAACTTGCTCTCCGCCAAGGTCAAAACGGTCTAGCTCATAGTCCTCCTCACAGGCCCTGAGTGACAAAACCCAGAAAACACAGTAGTAACAGTCTTAAGTCCAAATCCGCAATGTTCACTGTCACAAAATCCGCTTTTTCCACTAAGTTCCAACATTCCTCTAAAATAGGCCTAACAAACTCTTAAAAAAAAAAATTCTAAAATTCAAAAGGTTTGTATCTTGATCACAGCTCTTAAACATTATAAAATATGTTTTACTAAATTAAACAAAACATGTAACAAACATGAATACAAAACAGAATCGGTAACTTTAAATAACTGCGGTAAACATTTGCTGGCAGGCCAGATGGGTATGTGACAGTGATAAATTTCACCAATAGAGAAAAAAGATGTAAATTACCTGGTCCAAAGTGGCCAGAAGAACAAGTTGACAACAAAACAATTACACTTAAACAGAGAAAAATACTTTAAAAACAGCTTAAAACGTTCCACAAAAAATTTAGGCCTTACGTGTAAAACCCATGTATTTTTGCTAATAACTCTAAAAGTTGTGGTCAGAATTTGCTCGGAATGGTCTTAAAAGCTGGGGGAAATGTTCCAGCAACTTTTCCAGACCATTCCAAACCTTAACTCAGAGGCTGAAGCTAGTTGGCCTACAGGTTACCCAGTCCAAACCTGACAGGACAACTGCCAAACTCAGAACTACTTATTACTTTCTTAAAACTTCATTTAAATGACTCAAACTTTCTGGGGACCTTTAAGAGCAGTTAATACAACTTAATTTAACTAGTTTGGCAAAGGCAAAGCAACATAAAATTATTTTAAGAGCACTTGATTGGGTAACACAAACTGAACTTTTTACAAGACAAAGCAACGGGACACAAAAAACAAAAGCTACCAAAGGTAGTAGCCTAAGACATTTACATTTAAAGAGCAAAATTGTAGGCCTAGGCCTACCACAAAACAGTGAGAAGGACAAAAACAGAATTGGCAGTTTCTCTCAAACAGCGGCCTTCCAACAAACATTTCTCATCTCAGTTAATTCTAGGCCTAGCATCTCGGAGAAAGCCCTGAATTCTACAAAACATCAGAGAAAATGGGAAACTAACTACCAAAACTGTCCAACGACCCTGAAACTAGGTTCCAAACCCAGTGCAAACATGTGCTCACGGCAATTATAACCTAAGATTCAGAAAATTGTGCAAAACTTACCCATCAGGCAGAGACGGTATGACCGGTAGGCCTAATGTATGCTTACTCCATCGAAGAACAGCCCGCACCAATTAGGCAAAAAACACTAACAGGGCACATAAAATTATCCAAAAATGGTGGATTGATATGGATAAAGTATTCTGTGAAGTTTACTCTTTTGACGTCTCGGAGCCTCTGAATCGTCGGCGGTGGGAGTAAGAAGAACAAGACACAGCCTTGTTGAGGGTCGTTGGAAGTAAGAAATCGAAACACATACTAACCTACTATACAAAAAACAATTTGACCGTTGATTATGAGTCGTGACATTCGCCGGTGGAAATTAGTCACGGCTCAATCTCTAGACATTTTGTGTTAATAGGATCCATTAAAACCGGATCCAGCCCAAGATCCGATTTTTTGAGGATCCGATCGGGCGTCGGGTCTTGCTCAGATCCGGCGGAACCGGTAGTCCGATATCCGGATCCGACCATCACTACATAAAAGATATTAAAACTATAAGGATATGATAAAATTTAAGTTCAAAAGTGATTGATGTAATACAAATGTTAAAACGACTTTATGTTAATTAAACTATTTTTCTTTAACATTTCTACGAAAATTAATTATAATATCCCTATCAAAATTCCTTGCTCTTGTAATAACTGGATTAACACTTACAGTTTTTTGTGCTTATCACAAAATTTCTGTGACAGCGCAACCTTTGTAGATCCCTTCTTTGACCACAGTGATGTAACCAAGCCTCTTAAAATATAATGTTTCCACTGGATCTGTGAAAGTGTTGTTTTTCGTTTTACAGGGGGACTGTCTGGTGGGGTCAACTCTGTTGTTGAGTTGTTATACCTGTTGTGTACCACGCGGGACTCTCACACACAAGAGCGTGTACAAGCTGTGCTGTCGTGGCTGTTGTCCATAGCATCACAATCCAGACCTGCTTCTGCTACCTACATACAGTGTGTGGCTGCCATACTATGGGCCAATCCTGACCTGGCACACCTCGTCACAGACCAACTCTTCAGGTATTCATGTCTTAGAGGTCCACAAACTTTGATTTACCATTCTTGTATAGCATGTAAACTCTTGATATATCCTAGAGGTGTGCGGTCTCACCCTTGTTATCCGTAACAAAGTCCTTACTTTCCATGTACGGTTTTTACTCTCCCAAAATATTAAAATAAATTTAATAAATCTTGAAAAGCTACAAAATATAAATTAGGCTCTTTGTCATTCTATAAATATATGTCTATAGTAATATTCCCCTACAGTACCTACATACATTATCTCAATTAATGTCGTTATGACTCCGCGGTCACGGCGTGATCGTCGGTATGACTAGCGGTCTTGGGGCGATCGTTGAAACGACTTCGCCTCCTGCATTCATGGAACTATCGTGAACATCTCTCGCGATAGCGGCATCATCGTCACTCGCAAAGCGGCAAAATCGCCGACGATCGGATTAAATCCCGTCCCGAAAAATTCCCGAATCAAATCTAATCACGTACCGAAAATCGGGAATATTTTTTTCCCAAAAATTTCCCAAAATTTTGGGACTCGTCCTCCCTATAGATTAGTTATGTTGAAATGAAACTTAAGTTTAGTTAAATATGTACAGTAGACCCTCTCTAATCCGGCACTGCATCACTCCGGCACTCCAGTAATCCGGCGTCTTTTGACGGGAGGTCTTCCGCCATCGCGGCAAAATTCGGATTATCTCCCGCGGCCGTGTAGACATCATAATTCTCTCACGTGGTCATGAAAACGTCATCGTCGTCTTGCGCGAACGCGGCAATATCATTAACATCTCCCGCGGACGTATAGACGTTATCATCGCCTCCCGCGGTCACGGAAACGTCATCGTCGTCAAGCACGATCACGGCAAAATCACGAACATCTCCCGCGGACGTATAGACGTTATCATCGCCTCCCGCGGTCACGGAAACGTAATCGTCGTCAAGCACGATCGCGGCAAAATCACAAACATCTCCTGCGGACGTATAGACGTTATCATCGCCTCCTACGGTCACAGAAACATCATCGTCGTCAAGCACGATGGCGGCAAAATCACAAACATCTCCCGCGGACGTATAGACGTTATCATCGCCTCCTACGGTCACAGAAACATCATCGTCGTCAAGCACGATGGCGGCAAAATCACGAACATCTCCCGCGGACGTATAGACGTTATCATCGCCTCCCGCGGTAACGGAAACATCACCGTCGTCAAGCACGATCGCGGCAAAATCATGAACATCTCCCGCGGTCACGAAAACGTCATCGTCGTCATGCGCGATGGCGGCAATTTCACAAACATCTTCCGCGGACGTGTAGGCCTAGACGTTATCATCGCCTCCCGCGAATACGTAATCGTCATCATCGTCATATGCCCGATCGCGACAATAGCGGTTTCCGATCACGCGAACTTCGGATACGTGTTTTAATTCCATTCTAAGTGTTTTTAATGATAACATTCCAGTAATCCGGCATTTTCACTAATCCGGCAGTATGGCGGTCCTATATCTGCCGGATTACTGAGAGTCTACTGTACTTTTTTTTTATCGCCGATTTTTTTTGGTTTAGAGCTGCAAGTATTAGCAAACCTGCAGACTAAGTGGATTTCTAATTAAATTCCTGATTTGATTTTCACTTAAATCTATTTAAATGACATTAGGGTTAACAATTACCTAGGTTTGCTGCTACAGAGAGGGCAATAAAAAGTTTGTTTTTTACTAAAGTATTAGCTTTGTATAAATTAAATAAATTTCCCAACTTTGATCACAATATATCCAAACACAAAAACAAACTACAACAGTTTATTATTTTTCATAAAATTAACATATTAAATTTTTTTTTTACAATATTTTGAATTTTCTACCTAACCAATAACCATAAAAAAACAATTCAATGAACTACACTTGTTTTTTTAAGCTCTTCAAAATGGTTTAGAGAGAAGTTGGAAAATTTTATGTTTTGAAGGTCAAAAATGACAAAAAACTAGGGATGGACAGGATTGAATTCTTAGTTCGGGTTGAGATGGTATTTTTATTTCCTTCCCAATTTTCGGGATGGGACGGGACCGGATTTTTTCCTGTGCATAAAAAGAAAGTCTTAAGTATTTCAGTTACCAAAAAGGACAAACAAAATCAATTTTTACCATTTATGGCACTGATCAATTAAAACAAAAAAATTGGTAAAAATTTACAGGTATTGAAACTTCTGACTCGCGGTGGAAATGACTCAATCACGGTGACTCAAAAAACGGCTACATCACGGTGTGATTGTCGGTATGACTCGCGGTCTCGGTGGAATCGTCGGTATGACTCCTCGGTCACGGCACGATCGTCGGTATGACTGCATGGTCACGGCGTGATCGACGGTATGACTCCGTGGTCACGGCATGATCGTCGGCAAGACTCACGGTCTTGGCGGGTTCATCGGTATGACTCCGCGGTCACTGCGCGATCGTCAAAATGACTGCAGTCGGGGCGCGGTCGTCGAAATGACTGCGGTCATGGCGGGATCGTTGGTATGAGTCGCGGTCACCATGTGACCTACGGTAATTGCTTATTCCCTATATGGGAAATTCTCTAAATGTGTTTTCGTCTTGTGTTCGGTAAAAACTTTATGTATGTATTATAACAAATCGTTCTACGAGGATTGACCTGATGATGTGATTGTGGTCACGAAACCGGTCGTCATCTAATAGCACCAAAGGATATTGAACAAGGTAACTGTTTATTTTATTATTAATTCTCTAAAAGTTGTTTTTTTACAAACAATTAAAACTTGTATCCAAATATTAAGAAATTTCACAATACCTAAAATATGCCGTGGTCAGGGAAATTTACAGAAAATGGACAGGGAAGGTCAGGGAAAGTCAGGGAATTCACTAAAGATATATTTGTAGGAACCCTGTTTTAAACAATTCAACACATTAGGCCTACTATAAATTTTAATAAGTACTGAAAACAGAACAACCTTTCGGAAATAAAGAAAACCCAGTCCCAGCAAATGTTCTTTTAAAAGACAGGATCTATTTAAAAGATATTGCCATTTTAAATAATTAATCGATTGAACATATGACATTTTGTTAATTTTACTGTTGACGTATTATATTTCTAAAGCTTGAAATATTAACATTGTATCAACAAATTTAGGTGCAAGCTAATTTTGATTTTAATGTACTTCAACTTATTGCAGTGCTGTGTACGAGTGGACAATGAGTTTGGAGGCGAGGTCTGCACTGAAGCGAGGTGTGGACATACTTCTCTGCTCCATGTGCTACATCAAGCCTGTGTTGTTTCCAACTCTCTTGCAGAGAATGGGGGTTCTTGTGCCCATAAGGTCTACCAGTCATGCGGCATCCATCACTGATGATAGGTCAGTTGCTAAGTCAGTGCTACCAGAGTTTTGTCCAAGATCCATTATCTCCTGAGCATTTACAAAACCTTTTTACTTTTGCAGTGTTTAGATTTATAGGTACTAAGGGTGGTAATTGAATTTTATTTAATTTCGGATTTATAGACATATAATAACTTCAGGTAGACTTGACTTGACTCTTTTTTTATTAAGAACAGAACAATGTATCTTAACCATAATCAAAATATAAAATAAATCATATCAGCTGTTGAAGTTCAACACAAGCCATTAATTAATTAGTAACATTTGGATACTATGCAATACATGCATAGGATCTTTGAATGTATATCTTCAAATTCAGTGGATTGAATGTTGTATATTACTTTTGATTGATCCCAGGAAGGATGGAGAGAGCCAGGAGCAGGACATGTCAGAGTGGTATGACCAGCTAGTACTGCAAGATCTACAACATCTGCAGTTGTCTGAGAGTCAGCTGATGACAGTAGCAGTAGCCTGTCAGTCTCCTCCCGCCACCCTGCAACTGCTGGACTCAGGACTGCCGAACCTGCTCACCAACACAATCCTTGGTATGTCAACAATAAGGAATTAAATTTTTGCATACAACTCTACTCTTAATTTTTCAGTGTTAATCCTGATATTTTAATTTTCTATCAATAATTCGACCCAAGCTTGCATTATGACTAGAAATTTAAATATTTTGAATGATTACTGTAAAAGTGTTACATTTCTACAGTAAATCATAAAACATTGTATAGTAGAACCCCTCACATCCTACACATCTACAGTCCTACAGTCCTAACTGACTTATCCGGTATTCCAACATAATGTCTGACTGTCTTTAGGGTGTCCACAGAAAACCTAGGGGAAAAAATTCAAAAATCTTTCCTGGTTTTTCTGGTTGTGATTCCCGATTTCCGAGTGTACCTTTTACTGCACCGTGATATTTTTGGGTCGGGTAGAGTCATCAGTTGGCCCGAACACAAACGACTAAGGGAAGATTTTCATGATTTCACAGAGACTGTGGATTGTGGAAGATGCTTTTGATTTTTGCCATAGCTGCAGGAGATATACAGATATTCAATCAATCAATTATTCTTTCTTCTAAAAATAGGTTCTAGGGGTGTGCGAAGGAGCAAAAAATTTTCGATTCACAGCAACGATTCGATTAAAAGATTTTCAATTCAAATTGATGCAACTCGATTTTAAGCAATACGGAATTTTTCTATTAATACAGGGTGGCGCAGAGAAATGGGAAATTTCAAAATAATCCTAATAAACCAAGAAAATCGTACAAAAAAGTCTTTAATGGTGAAAATGTGTTGGTGAAGTGTGGAAAATATATAAGAAATGTTGGTAATAGGAATATTGTTAATCACCTTTTAAAATTAACATCAGTTAAGTGCTGTCTTTTGGGCCTATTCGTTCAATCGATTTTGAAGACTAGCATTGTGCGCCTCTGGGATGTTGGCAACGTAATCTTCGATCTGAGTCTTGAGCTCAGTAACATTTCTTGGCCTAGTCAGGTACACAACGCTCTTTAGATGTCCCCATAGAAAGAAGTCGCACACTTGAGAGGTGTGGAGGCCAAACAACGTTAGCGTTCCTTGAAATGATGCGCTCCCCAAACGAACGTCTCCATGCAGCCATTGACAGATTGGTAGTGTGTGAAGGTGTTGTTGAAACCAGGTTTGCAGGATTTCAATTTCTAGAAAAGCATGAAGCCGTGGAGCAAAAAATGTCTCCAGCATATGAATGTAACGTTGAGATGTAACATTTACTGTGGAACTATCTTCATCCTAAAAAAGTAAGGTCCAACATCAACACCAAGACAATACACTGCCCACCATACAGTAACTTTGGGACTGTGTAACGGACGTTGATGAAGTTCAGTGGGTTTTCGGTTTTCGTTAAGCCCAGTAATGCATGTTCTGCTTATTGACATGTCCATTTAAATGAAATTAACAGACTTCCAAACATTTGCAGCTGTTGCACTGTAACCATTTTTGTAGTATGCTCTCACGGCGACTGCTGGCTCCTCACCACTCTACTGATCCATCTCAACTAAATGTCCATTAGTACTTGGCGTTATGACTTTCGTTTCTCACTCCTACAAGACATACAGGTGTACCAACAACGACTTGAAAATTTCCCGTTTCTCTGCGCCACCCTGTACTTGTCAATGGAGTGAAATAACAGTAATTAAAATTTACTACATTTTGTGTAATGCAAATTTTTGTTGGTGTGGTAGGCCTATTCATACATATGACATGAATTTTATGTGAATAAATATTTATTTTCAATCGTATATTAGAAGAACCTGTATTGCTGGAAATGTCAGTGAGCTGCTTTACTTGCCTATGCTGATCTAGCCTCCATGAAGGAGAAACTTTTGAATTTGTTTTATTTAAAAAATAATACAAGTGATTCATGTAATTTAGATATCAATGTGGCTTATAATGGTTTGAAATATAAATATAAAGTAGCAGTGAAAGAAGCAAAACTTCAAAATAATGCATTCCATATAGAAAACAGCAGCAATAAATGTAAAGCAGCTTGGGATTTAATTAAGAAAAACAAAGTATCTAGTGATGTAGTAGCACCAAAGATTGATTCAGACATTATAAATGATTACTTCATTAACTCTATTATTGATATAAAAAAAAAACTGGACAACCAAAGGACATGTAGCTCTTATTTGGACTTTGTAGATGAAAAATTGAATAAAAATAACACTGTATTTAGTTGGGATGAAATAACACCTAAAATGATAGTTAATGCAGTAAAGAAAATGAAAAATTCTAATAGTAAAGATGTGTATGGAATATCAAACAAATTACTTAAAAGTATTATCCATAGTTTAGATGTACCCCTTGCTATGAGTACAAATGCATTGTTAAGGGAAGGATTATTTCCAGATTCAATGAAGATTTCTCGCGTTTGCCCGGTCTATAAGAACGGTCCCAAAAACGAGCCCCAGAGTTATCGTCCTGTCTCAATTGTCCCAGTCCTTGGAAAATTAATTGAAATACTAGTCTATGAACAAATCAGTGAATATTTTGAGGCAAATGACTTGTTTAATGTTTCCCAATTTGGATTTAGAAAAGGAATGTCTACAATTGATGCTCTTGACAATCTCATCAGGCAAATTCATCAGTCCTTTGAAAGCAAGACCTTTGCTCAAAACACCTTTTGTGACCTGAGCAAAGCATTTGATTGTGTTGACTTTGAAATTCTTATTAAAAAGTTAGAACTGTATGGGTTTAACGGATCTTCTCTAAATTTTCTTTCATCTTATTTAAAAAACCGGAAACAACTAGTAAATTCTAATGGGAAAAAGTCACAAGAAAGGGAAGTAACTTGGGGCGTCCCACAGGGATCAGTTCTTGGCCCACTTCTGTTTTTAATTTACATTAATGACCTTCCAATGGCAATAAATACTAAAACTATTCTGTACGCGGATGATACTACTTTTTTTCATGAAAACAATAACCAACTTGTACTTCAAAATTTAGTCCAAGTCACAAAATTAAACGCATCCAAATGGTTTCATGCCAATGGCTTTCTATTGAATGACTGTAAAACTCAAGAAATAAAATTTACATTGAAACACGATTCTGCCTTAAATAATGAAAATAGTGCTGTCACTACAAAATTTTTGGGTCTTCATATTGATAATAAACTATCCTGGAATGAGCATATAAATTATTTGTCTACTAGACTATCTCGAGTAATTTTTCTTCTTGGTCGTCTCAAAGATGTAATTCCAAAGAACTATTTGAGATCGGCTTATTTTGCATATTTTCAGTCTGTAATGAGATATGGATTGATATTCTGGGGTGGGTGTGGACGAATTAATGAAATTTTAATCCTACAGAAGGGGGCTATCAGAGCTATGAATGGATCAGAGCCAGACGAGCACTGCAAGCCTCTTTTTAAGGATTTTAAGATTCAAACTGTAATAAATTTGTTTATTTATGATCTTGCCCTTTATATCTTAAAAAAACCCCATTACCTAAAATTCAATAATCATAATCACAATACCAGATTTAAAAATAGTGCCTTGTTAGAATCACATCGTCTGAGTAAGACTAGCAAGAGCCACATAGTGTTATCAACTAAAGTATATAACCTTTTAAAACACAATATTGATGCTTATCCGCAAGAAAAATTTAAGTCCTTGTTTTATAATTGGCTATTAGACAACCCTTCTTATAGCCTGGACGATTTGTTCAAATCTGGCCAAATAAATCTTTGATTATATAACCCTGCTGCTAACCTGTTGCTTTATCAGGTCCTTATATTGTTGTTTGTTTAGTCATTTGTACATATTTTAGTTATTAAGCCCTCTATTGTTTTTTCAAAATATTGAAAGTGTTTTGATTTTGTTTTGTTTGACAATTGATGTATAATCATGATTTTGACTTTGTCGATGATCTAATGTATCCTTATGACAAATAAAGATTTTTATTATTATTATTATTATTATTATTTCATAATTTTTACTTACAGAATCATATTGTTAAGCATGTTACCTATTTTATAATATTGATTTTACAAATAAAGCTATGTTTAGGAGTAAACAAATAACAACATTTATTTGTAAGATTTATACTGAAACTTTCAATAATTGTAATGTAAAACCAATTTGGTTTACATTAATAAAATGAGAGGATGGAATCAGACCTTTAAACTACAAGGTATACATAGCTTCAGACCTACAAAAATAACAAATTTATCATTTTAAAACATCAGTATTACTAGTTAAGTATCGAGTATAATTTTTTCAGACTTGTGTTATTTTTAGAATGATTTTGTATTGACTTGTTTTGGCTATGTTTAAAGTAGTAAAATATGTCTCACACTGCTTACACTTAACACTTCTCATCATTTGCAATGTCAAAACAAAAAAATATAGGCGAAAACAATTAAAGCAATATTTACATGCAAAAATGTATTAAATAAGAATGCCTTCGCAAAGGAAACGCAACAACAACACGCTCCTGTATTGCTGGTATTGCATTGACTCTTCAGGCGTTTTTTCGTATATAGATACTGAGATGAATGGAATCGTTTTTTGACCACCACTGAATCTAATTGCGATTTGATGTATCAAATCGAATTGAATAGGAATTTCGATGCATTTTCTTTGCATTGCACATCCCTAACAAGTTCTATAACTTTCAAAAATCAGAAAATCTTTAGGTTACATTAGATTAAACAGGGTTGGTACGGTCAGGGAAAGCATGGAAAAGTCAGGGAATTTTGTTGGTCTGGAAAAGTCATGGAAATGTCAGGGAATTATGAAAAAATCCTGGAATTTCTCCTGAAAGATTACCTTTTTACAGATATGCTACGTTGTGCTCCAAACAGGTTTTTGTCAGGGTAATCTCTAATGGCAAAAAGAACGACATAAGCACTGATGCACATTTTTATATTGATATTTAGTTATCAGTACGGGGGAGGAATCGATATTTATATAGTTTGGAACAAGTTTTGTATTTGGGAGTGGTTAAACAAGTTAAATATTTACATTTTTAAATATTTCTTGATTTTGATTAGTTGATATCGACTTACGGTATACCTGAAAAAAGTATAATATCAGTCTGGAAAACCTGGAAAAGTCGGAGAATTTTATTTACCAAATTTAGTACCAACCCTGTTAAAGCTAGGTATACCTGGATTTCAAATGAACATTAAGAGATTACATTCTAAAAATGTGTTGATAGAATAAAATGGGTTTCTTGTCAATAAGCCTTTTGGTAAGCTTTTGAATCTGTTTGTGTTATTTTCATTTTTTAGTGAAATAGGTAATTTGTGGATGAATTTACCCTCATTGTACTTTTTTCCATACTTATTTGAAAATTTATATCAAAATTGTATCTAAAAAAATAAATAAAAACATCATATTTTACACCTACAGAAGATTAAAAAACATCATAGATTAAACCACGATAAATTACTTAAATCACTTTAAAGCATCATGAAATCATTTTCCTTAAATGTTTTACATTTTTTCTTAACTGACTTTCATTCTTGCTTTTTACCAAGATATTAAATACCATAATGCAGGGGTCTCCATCATTTTTTACTCAAGGGCCACATTGGCAATTTTTGGAGGAAAGGCATTTTTGGCCGGACTGTCAACATTTCAGTGTAGAAGGGTAGCTCCCTAAAAATAATCCACAAAGAGGTAGTTTTCTAAAAAAGAGCTCATTGATCAAGTTTTTACATCTCTTGCTAATTTTTTGCTACTATTTAACCTTTTGACTAACTAAAATTCTGTTCGCTTTTGCGAATTATACTGTGACCAAGCAATAGTTATTTGTGCAACTAGTGAGCAATTGACTCACTCGAGAGAAATACTTACTCACGAGCCGTAGGCGAGTGAGGAATGGTTTCTTGAGTGAGGCAATTGCACTTTGCACTCGAGTTGCACATTATATTTTTCCTACAGTTACCATATAACAAATAAATTGGTAAAGAAACGTGACATATTTTTACACAGAAGTGAACTTTTAATATGACATTTAATGATACAACAGTACAACAGCTGACCAGCTGATTTACAGCCAGTGCTGCCAACGTATTTCGCGCGCATACGACCTTGTCTGCATGTTACTCACTATTTCGTGCCTTCACGTTGCAAATCTGGAGTGAGACAAAGTAATTAGAGTGAGCGAATTGGCCACTTTGCTTTTTAAAACAGTGAGAGAACATGTACATTGTTAGGTAACTGTAGGAAAAATAATTTATCTACCTGACATAATTATTTATGGGTATATGAACAGTGTTTGTCATATACTTTGTCATAAATAAATCACGATCACTGGAACATTATTACCGAGATTGCAACATTTACTTGCGGGTGTTGCCGCTACCTTGAGTTACGAATATGGTATTATCGAGACCGCACATTATTACCAAGATTGCAACATTTACTTACCGTTGTTGCCGCAACCATGAGTGACGACCACGGTATTGCCGAGACCGTAAAATATGCTCGCGGTTGTGCCGCAATCGCGATTGACGATCATATTATTACCGAGATTGCAACATTGATTTTCGGGTGTTGCCACGAACGACGTTGAGTGACGACCACGGTATTGAAAAGACCGCAAAAAATGCTCGCGAGTGTTGCCGTGATTGCGAATGACGATCACGTTATTACAGTGACAGCAACATTTACTTACGAGTGTTGCTGCGATCGCGAATGACGATCACATTATTACCGAGATTGCAACATTTTGTTACCGATGTTAAATTTCCCAGTAAACCTTCGCGGGCTTTAGGTTGGAAGCCCCTTCCATAATGTATTGAGGTTAGGGTATGTCGACAAACCTAATCTTACTTTAAAATATCACGGCCTCCTCTTGAAGTACAAGGTACAATTTTAAACATGTGTACTAGGCTATATGTAAAAGAAGAAAACATTTTATTTCAATAGTTATTTATGGGTAGAAACAAAAAAAACCTGAAACCGACAACTGAATTTTAGGAAAACAGAACCGATTATATCAGCAAACGACCCATCACTACATATGATTAAGCAGTTTGCTATTTCCTTCTCATGTGTGTATGCCTGAAACCATTGACTATTAATAGTCAAAGCTTAAACTTAATTTGGAAATTTAACTTGGTTATAAATAAATTGGAATTTTGTTAAGTTGTGAAGGAAAAATTATAAAAAAATCTAGACATACCATAATCCTTGGGGCTCAAAGGATTGAGCAACATTTTTAAATACAAATTTTTTCAGACTTTTTAACAGCTATTATCTTTAATTTTTCAGAGTTTAGTACTCGGAAACATTCAGAACGGCGATGTAGCAAGCAAAGTAACCAGTCAAGACTGACGGATTCAGATAAAGCTAGCGGACGCAACCATGTAATTAAAGGTAAAACTACAATGTTTCTCCTCTTTACCCCTTCTATTATTTTGACAAGCATGACTTTTCAACAGTCCATTTGTTTTAAAAGGAAATTAAGTTTTTTATGTTAATAATCATAACTACTATACTTATAGTTTAAGCCAAACTGTTTGAGTATTAAGGAAATTTGCAGTTGTAATGTAGTATGTTCTACAAATAGATTGTTCTGGTCTGTGATATAAAGAAACATTTAAATTTACATTTCAGTGTTGAATTCATGGTTCTGGTTCTAATATTGTAATATTAGATGTATAAATTAGATGTATTATTATATATATTGTGATATTAAATGTAGGCTATGTGTATTTGAGTTAATAATATGTTCAAGTACAATTAGTGAATTAGAAAATCTTGGTTTGCAGTAAATGCTCTAAAAAAATAATAACAACAAATTGTAACTATTATTTGATTACCTATTATAAGCAATCCAGTCCCTGCACTTGAACTTCTCTATTTTTAGATTTTAAAATCTAAAATACTACCGACAAATTTGTTCCACTCATTTTTATTTTGCAGTTTTCTCTGCACCTTTATCTTTGAAATTAGGCATTGCTCATTTCATATAAAAAATGAGGTTGATACTATTAATGTACCTTTATGCAATAGAAGGTAACCGACCCATGGTCCAGCTGGAAATGGTCTCTAGTATCCTCCGCTTCTTCGCGGAAGTTTGTTCAGAAGGCAACATGAGGGACTGGCTGGGGTCATCAGAAGGCTCAGTGTTCTGGCTACCTCTCCTCACCCTGCTCTGCACAAGGACTGCAACCAACTCCAGGTATTGTCACATTACAAACAAATGAAGCCCCATTAACATTCCTGTCCCGGTGTCATAAGTAGTTAGTAGTGTGTAAAGCAGACAATGTTTAATGTGCAGGTGTGAGATGATAGAGTCCTTCAACTAACACATTAGAGACAGCCACAGTAAAGTTCCTGTCCTGGTGTCATGAGTTAGCAGTGTGTAAAGCAGACAATGTTTAATGTGCAGGTGTGAGATGATAGAGTCCTTCAACTAACACATTAGAGACAGCCACAGTAAAGTTCCTGTCCCGGTGTCATGAGTTAGTAGTGTGTAAAGCAGACAATGTGTAATGTGCCTCAGGTGTGAGATGATGTCAGAGTCCTTCAACTAACACATTAGAGACAGCCACAGTAAAGTTCCTGTCCCGGTGTCATGAGTTAGCAGTGTGTAAAGCAGACAATGTGTAATGTGCCTCAGGTGTGAGATGATGTCAGAGTCCTTCAACTAACACATTAGAGACAGCCACAGTAAAGTTCCTGTCCCGGTGTCATGAGTTAGCAGTGTGTAAAGCAGACAATGTGTAATGTGCCTCAGGTGTGAGATGATGTCAGAGTCCTTCAACTAACACATTAGAGACAGCCACAGTAAAGTTCCTGTCCCGGTGTCATGAGTTAGCAGTGTGTAAAGCAGACAATGTGTAATGTGCCTCAGGTGTGAGATGATGTCAGAGTCCTTCAACTAACACATTAGAGACAGCCACAGTAAAGTTCCTGTCCCGGTGTCATGAGTTAGCAGTGTGTAAAGCAGACAATGTGTAATGTGCCTCAGGTGTGAGATGATGTCAGAGTCCTTCAACTAACACATTAGAGACAGCCACAGTAAAGTTCCTGTCCTGGTGTCATGAGTTAGCAGTGTGTAAAGCAGACAATGTTTAATGTGCAGGTGTGAGATGATAGAGTCCTTCAACTAACACATTAGAGACAGCCACAGTAAAGTTCCTGTCCCGGTGTCATGAGTTAGCAGTGTGTAAAGCAGACAATGTGTAATGTGCCTCAGGTGTGAGATGATGTCAGAGTCCTTCAACTAACACATTAGAGACAGCCACAGTAAAGTTCCTGTCCCGGTGTCATGAGTTAGCAGTGTGTAAAGCAGACAATGTGTAATGTGCCTCAGGTGTGAGATGATGTCAGAGTCCTTCAACACATTAGAGACAGCCACAGTAAAGTTCCTGTCCCGGTGTCATGAGTTAGCAGTGTGTAAAGCAGACAATGTGTAATGTGCCTCAGGTGTGAGATGATGTCAGAGTCCTTCAACACATTAGAGACAGGCACAGTAAAGTTCCTGTCCCGGTGTCATGAGTTAGCAGTGTGTAAAGCAGACAATGTGTAATGTGCCTCAGGTGTGAGATGATGTCAGAGTCCTTCAACACATTAGAGACAGCCACAGTAAAGTTCCTGTCCCGGTGTCATGAGTTAGCAGTGTGTAAAGCAGACAATGTGTAATGTGCCTCAGGTGTGAGATGATGTCAGAGTCCTTCAACACATTAGAGACAGCCACAGTAAAGTTCCTGTCCCGGTGTCATGAGTTAGCAGTGTGTAAAGCAGACAATGTGTAATGTGCCTCAGGTGTGAGATGATGTCAGAGTCCTTCAACACATTAGAGACAGCCACAGTAAAGTTCCTGTCCCGGTGTCATGAGTTAGCAGTGTGTAAAGCAGACAATGTGTAATGTGCCTCAGGTGTGAGATGATGTCAGAGTCCTTCAACACATTAGAGACAGGCACAGTAAAGTTCCTGTCCCGGTGTCATAAGTTAGTAGTGTGTAAAGCAGACAATGTGTAATGTGCAGGTGTGAGATGATGTCAGAGTCCTTCAACACATTAGAGACAGCCACAGTAAAGTTCCTGTCCAGGTGTTGCTGGTGTCATCCGACCAATCAGAAGCTATTGGCTGTTGTTCTGTGCAATGTCATTAGTCAACAGCGTACACAAGGTATTTACACTTGCTGATGCCACTTACCTTTACTTAGTTATGAGTGTTCATTTTTGGTTAGACAAAGTACTAAAATTACATGATAGAATGTAAAATATTTATTTCTATTATTGACATGATGAATGGACTGACTTTGTTTGCAGTTCCTCCTCTTTTTGTTCTTCAGTAACTATTTAATTGCGGTAATATTTATGACAGTAAAAAGATTATTGAGTACCTGTGCAAAAAACATTCTTACTGTTGCATATCAAATATATGTGTAACAGTCCAAGTATTGTCAATGAAAGCACTTTTATTTGTGAAAAAAGTAGGAAAAAGTATTAAAGTAAATAATTAGGTAATACAAATTTTAAAAACTCTCTGATGTCCACAACTCGTAATCAGGCTAGACATTAAAGCTCAGCATTTTGCTGAATGAGTAGTTTTATTTATTTATTTATTAGTTAGTTTTATTTATTTTCTTAAAATTACTACTTCTCTACATTAAAGGAAGTTTTCTGAAAAAGGCTGTGTGTTTCGACACCAACTGAACTTGCAAGGATCTAATACAGGTGTTTTCCTAGTGGCCGAAATCAGAAAGGGGAACTTGGTGCCTAAAAAACTTGCATGACATTAACAGTTATGTAGCCATACTCAGCAACCAAAATCAGCAGCAAGCAAAACCCACCTTCAAATAGAAATTGAACAGGGTTAATTGTTTCCTTAAATATTGACATATTTATTAATGAAGTAGGTTTCTAGCTAGTAGCTAGTTTCTAGTAGCTAGGTGTCTAGCTTGTGATGTATGTTCAGGAGAGATGGGCATCTCAGGTGTTACTCGTCGACTGGTGCTTCAGTTGCTACTAGAAAGTGAGAAGATTGAAGTGTGTGTGCGTGGGGTGGGGGTGAGGGGGGGAACTGTGCCTACTGGCCCCACACATCCCCGCTACGGTGTGGGGCACAACAATCACCTGCTCTACCTCAGTGTCCACACCACCGTAGCTGACATCATCAAGCTGGTCTCTCGTGAGTGTACCTGTAATAGTTAATTTTATCATAATTGAATCATTCAATGCAATAACCAGATATTATCAAGTATTCATTTCATAATATTATTGTGACTTCTTTCTTTCTTCTTCTTCTTCTTCTTTTAAAAAAGAGGTTGGCGGCTTCTTTTAACCTTGCATTTGCCCGTCCACATAGACTACAGATCTGTGTGTGGAACGTATCCAGCAAAGCAAAAGGTGAGCCGGTACAGTACAAAGGTGAACTGTACTGATAAATGTTTGTGGCAGTGACCAGGATCCGAACCCACAACACTACTGCCTTGGGCCCGAAGTCCGCAACGCTACCAACTGAGCCACCAACTAAGCCTATGCAACTTAATTATTATTTAGCCTACCCACATAAATTATCAATTTTGTTGTAGGAAAATAAACAAGTAAAAATTTTATATTTTCCTTTTTGGCACTTATGAATGATACTTATTAATACTAGCAGAGTAACCGTCCTTCGTACGGGGTTGGCGTATAAGTATAAAATGCTTATTGCAGTTATACTCGTGCTTTGCGTTTGCAATGGGGGAGGATAAGGCTTGAGAGAATTTGGTTCTTTATATTTACGGTATAGTATTACAGATGATATAGTATAGTATATACAGTATAGTATTACACATCTACCATAGCCATTCTGTTCTATCACTGCACCTAAACAATAAAAAAAATAAATGATCAAACATTCACACATCACAAATCATATAATTAAAACGTGACAGGGTTTTTTTATTTCACGATTCTGAATCAACCACTTGACGGATTTTAAAAACGTGACAGGGTTTTCTTATTTTACGATTCTGAATCAACCACTTGACGGATTTTAATGATTTTTGTGTTGAAAGAAAGATCATTTTGAGAACTAGGGAATTTCGAAGCCATAATTTTTGTTTAGGGTTTCAGTCTTTTAGAAATTAAGTTTTAAATTTTAAATAGTCTAGCAGCCGACGCTAACATTCTACTCTAGCTTTTGGTATAATACAATTCGCTTAACTTAACAGCTATAAACATTCAGTGTGTATTCGACACAAATTCAGCATTTGGATGAAAATGAAATGACATATACCTACGTATGTCATTTCATTTTTTATACTATATGTAATACTATAAATATTTCAATATTCAAATATTTATACTATGATCATTAATACTAATATCATTAATATAATCATTAATAATCATTAATACGTTCATTTTTTGGTAAGATGACAAGAGATTATATAAATATACATAGTAAAATCCTAGATATTCTAATTGATATTTTTGAGCAGTCTTTAAAATCTTTAGTTTGTTTTAGTGCAATATAATTTGTTACTAGCAGGGTGTCTAGTAGTCGGGAAAATCGGGAAAGTCGGGAATTAGTATTGAATTTCAAAATGGTCTTGAAAGTCGGGATTTAGTCTTAAATTTGATTTCAAAGTCGGGAATTTTCATGATTTTGCCGCGATCGTCGTCTTGCGTTTACGTAACCGCAAAAGCCAATGATGATGTCTACATGGCCTCGGGAAATGTTCACGATTTTGCCGCGATAGTGGACGACGACGATGACGTTTCCGAAACCACGAGAGACGACGATGACGTTTCTGTTACAGCGGGAGACTACGATGACGTTTCCGTGACCGCGGGAGACGACGATGACGTTTCCGTGACAGCGGGAGACGACGATGACGTTTCCGTGACAGCGGGAGACTACGACGATGTTTCCGTGACCGCGGGAGACGACGATGATATCTGCTCGGCCGCGGGAAATGTTCATGATTTTGTCACGATCGCGGACGACGACGATGACGTTTCCGTGACCGCGGGAGATGACGTTGACGTTTCCGTGACCGCGGGAGACGATGATGATGTCTACACGGCCGCGGGAAATGTTCATGATTTTGCTGCGATCGTGGACGACGACGATGACGTTTCCGTGACCGCGGGAGATGACGATGACGTTTCCGTGACCGCGGGAGACGACGATGATGTTTACACGGCCGCGGGAAATGTTTATGATTTTGCCGCGATCGCGGACGAGGCCGCGGGAAATGATCATGATTTTGTCACGATCGAGGACGACGACGATGACGTTTCCGTGACCGCGGGAGATAACGATGACGTTTCCGTGACCGCGGGAGACGACGATGATATCTACACGGCCGCGGGTAATGTTCATGAGTTTGTCGCGATCGCGGACGATGACGATGACGTTTCCATGACCGCGTGAGATGACGATGATGTTTCCGTGACGGCGGGAGATGACGATGACGTTTCCGTGACCGCGGGAGACAACGATGACGTTTCCGTGACCGCGGGAGACGACGATGATGTCTACACGGCCGCGGGAAATGTTCATGATTTTGCCGCGATCGCGGACGATGACGATGACGTTTCTGAGACAGCGGGAGATGACGTTGATGTCATTGATGTCTACAAGGCCGCGGGAAATGTTCATGATTTTGCCGTGATCGCGGACGACGGCGATCACGTTTCTGTAACCGCTCTAGTCAATGATGATGTCTAAACGTACGGTACGTGGAAGATTTCATGATATAAAAAAAAAATTTGCTAGTTAGAATTTTTTATTGCTGCATTATTTCTTTACTTGAAAACACCACATTATCATAATACTACTTTATGACAAAGACAGGGGTTGGTGTAGTATTATTCAGAAAATTTGGTTAAGCTATAAAAATTGGTATCGGTATCAAGAATCGAGAATCGATACATTTTGGTATCAACACGCACTAATTGTTGAAAAAACTAGTCTTGAAAAATTTGGAATTAGTCTTGAAAAGTCTGGAATTAGTCTTGAATTTTATAATGGAAATAAACTAGACACCCTGTACTAGTGTACATGTTGCTCGAATTCGAGCAATTGCTGCAAAGTATTACAGGATTTATTTCAAAACGAATAACAGTCATATTTACAATGAGTTTAAAAGAGTCAACTCAAAGATTACCGGTCTGATCACTCAGACCATGTTTATCTTTGTTATTGATAAACCTAAAAGTATTCCAGCCGGTTTTCTCCTTCTCAAAATGCCTCGCTGTACAGGCAACACAGGTCATTGATAGAGGACCAATTGAGAACGAAAAGTCGTTTTGGGGTAGTGTTAGGGCGCATTTGTAACCTAATAGTTGAGATTGTCCAGGGTCAGGTGCTGACTGTGATGAGTTAAGCCTATTTATTACGCGCCACTGTTCTGTAGCTGCCATCGTTATCACGATTACGCCTCCTGTCTATGTTTAGTTTTCGTCGCGTCGGAGGCATTTAAAAGAAAAAAACAACAAATAAACAAATTATAGCTACATAAAACAACAATAAATGCACAAATTTAAGTTGCAATCACGCTAACACGATCCGTCATAGCGACACAAAACAAGATAAATGCACAAATTTAAGTTGCAATCACGCTAACACGATCCGTCAATGCGACACAAAACAAGATAAATACACAAATTTAAGTTGCAATCACGCTAACACAATCCGTCATAGCGATACAAAACAAGATAAATGCACAAATTTAAGTTGCAATCACGCTAACACGATCCGTCATAGCGACACAAAACAAGATAAATACACAAATTTAAGATACAACCATACTAACACAATCCGTCTTGGGGGTTATGTTTACACAAACTCAAATAGTAAATAAATGTACTCAATGGGTTTCTTTGAATCCAAAAATAAATAACAGCAATTAAATTATACAGCTGATCAAAATGTAAACAATTGTGTTCTTCATAAGGATAACATGAGAACTTTCAAAGCCACTGAGGCAGAGCCCAAGGGACTTTTTCAACAATGTAAGGCCAGTTTGCAAATCTACGTGACACGCTCTTTCCAATGAAACGTCAATGGATTAAATCGGTTAAGAAATGGCGGAGGAGTTCAACCGACAAAGTTTCATGTAGCGTATAAATTATATAGATATCTAACAGCTGGTTGAATATAAAAATATTCTATAGAACTATGAGTTCCTTTACTCTGTGATTTGTCATTGATTATAGGAAATAAGTAATTTGATTATATAACCATTGCTGTATACGAATTGAAGCTCGCGAGTCTTGAAAGGAAAGCTTATGAAAATAATTTTACTACCAGACTTTTTAAGGAAAGGTTTGGAAATAACAATGATCACATGTTTTAATTCATCCTGGCAGCTTTTTCTTTACAATAAATTTTGAACTGCTTAAACTATGCTTGAAGGAATAGACATATTGACACAACTACGCACTGTAAAATACATTTTTAAAGGACTATACTCAATTCCCGTACGTAGGACGGGCCAACAGTTCGTTATGTATTAAATTAAAAACATAAACATTCCTGTAAACAATCCTACTTTGACAGTTCTCATTGTGTATCCCAGCTTTTTGAAGCTGCTTACTTCTAACTAGTAGTACGCTTATTCTGCGCGTAATGGGATGAGTGAACATGAGCGCAACAATGGAAGGGTATACCCGCACCTAGCCTACTTACTGGTGTCATTGGTGAACAGAACACAATGTAATTTGTATGGGCAAATCAACCAAATCTCAGTCGACAACAATCCTAACTTCTCGTCCATTAATAAACCAAAGTCATTGGTTGCAGATGCATTAATCTAACTGCCACCAACAGTTCCCACACACCGCACTGCTCGTCTCGACTATATCCGTCACCACTTCCTACGTCGTGGACCTGTTTACCTCCCTTCTCATAGATTGCAGATACATTATTCTATCTGTCACAAAGGGTTCCCACACACCGGACTGCTTGCCTTAACTACTTCCTTCACCACTTCCTTTGTCGTGGACCTGTTTCCCTCCCTTCCCATAGCCTTTTAGAATTGCAGATACATTAATCTAACTATCACAAAGGGTTCTCACACTCCGGACTGCTCACCCTTACTACTTCCTTCACCACTTCCTTCGTCGTGGACCTGTTTCCCTCCCTTCCCATAGTTTTTTTAGAATTGCAGGTACATTAATCTAACTGTCACAAAGGGTTCCTACACTCTGGACTGCTTGCCTTGACTATTTCCTTCACCACTTCCTTCGTCGTGGACCTGTTTCCCTCCCTTCCCATAGCCTTTTAGAATTGCAGATACATTAATCTAGCTATCACAAAGGGTTCTCACACTCCGGTCTGCTCACCTTGACTACTTCCGTTACTACTTCCTTCGTCGAGGACCTGTTTCCCTCCCTTCTCATAGCTTTTTTAGGATTGCAGATACATTATTCTAACTGTCACTAAGGCTTACCACACTCCGGACTGCTCGCCTTGACTACTTCCTTCACCACTTCCTACGTCGTGGACCTGTTTCCCTCCCTTCATATAGCATTTTAGAATCGCACATATATCATTCTGTCACAAAGGGTTCTCACACTCCGGACTGCTCGCCTTGACTACTTCCTTCACCACTTCCTTCGTCAAGGACCTGTTTCCCTCCCTTCCCATAGCCTTTTAGAATTGCAGATACATTAGTCTAACTATCACAAAGGGTTCTCACACTCCGGTCTGCTCACCTTGACTACTTCCTTTACAACTTCCTTCGTCGTGGACCTGTTTCCCTCCCTTCCCATAGTTTTTTTAGAATTGCAGATACATTAATCTAACTGTCACAAAGGGTTCCTACACTCCGGACTGCTTGCCTTGACTACTTCCTTCACCATTTCCTTCGTCGTGGACCTGTTTCCCTCCCTTCCCATAGCATTTAAGAATTGCAGAAACATTAATCTAACTATCACAAAGGGTTCTCACACTCCGGACTGCTCGCCTTGACTACTTCCTTCACCATTTCCTTCGTCGTGGACCTGTTTCCCTCCCTTCCCATAGCCTTTTAGAATCGCAGATACATTAGTCTAACTATCACAATGGGTTCTCACACTCCGGTCTGCTTACCTTGACTATTTCCTTTACTACTTTCTTCGTCGTGGACCTGTTTCCCTCCCTTCACATAGCATTTAAGAATTGCAGATTCCAAAAAACTGTAAATTTAAAATTCCCATGTTATTCTTATGGAGAACTAGCAGAGTACCCGTCCTTCGTACGGGGTTGGCATATAAGTTTAAAATGCTTATTCAGTTATACTCAAGCTTCAAGTTTGCAATGGGGGAGGACAAAGTTTGATAAAATTTGCTTTTTTAAATTGACGGTATACTAATGGTATTACACATCTACCAAATAGCTCTAATGTTCTACTACTTCACCTAAAAAAATAAATTATTATGAATTCAAAAAAAAAATCACGAATTATTCATGACATTAAAAACATAAATATAACTGTAAACAATCTTACTTTGGCAGTTCTCACAGCTTTTTGTTGCTGCTTAGTTTCATTTAGATGTTTACATAAATGAAAAAAAATCTAGTGCTGCACGCTGTTGGCAAATCTTATAACTTTTTAACTTTTTAATGTTTTTGTATATCATAGAACCAATTTTTTTAGTTGAAACAGCTGACTAAATTCTTTAATTCCCTTTAAACATGAATACTCATAAGGTTAACATGGGGAACTACAGAGCCACTGGGGCGGAGCCCGAAAGGATTTTTGAGATAAGAATGTGCCAATGGCAATATGTTAATCGGGAATGTGAGCTATCATCATGCCAAATTTCAGCCCAATCCGTCCAGTGGTGTATGCGTGATTGAACTTCAAACACACAAACTTTCACATTTATAATATTAGTAAGATAAGTAAACTGTTGTAGTTTGCTTGTTTATGATCATATTTTGATCAAATTTGGAAAATGCATTCATTTCATACTAAGCTATTAACATTTTACAAAAAAACCCCTTTCTACCCTCCCTGTTGCAGCAAACCTAAGTACTCGTTAAACTAATGTTATTTAAATAGGGAATAAATGTCATATTTTTAAGGAGGCATTTTAGTGTAAATCCAATCAGGCAAATGGAAATTCGCTTAGTCTGCAGGTTTGCTGCGGCGGGGGTATTGTTAGGTTGGTTTAGAACAGTTTCATTTCAATATTTTTTTTAATTATTGTTTGTTTATTCTGAACAATATTTATTTATCGTAGTTGTCAGCTGATATGTTTCAATTTGTTAATATCGATATATCGAGAAAAAAATCATCGATAATAATGAATGTCCTCTTTAACAGGAAAGTACCCTAACATCTTTGACTCTTCTGTATCCAATAGTCAATGCTAATAGTCAATGCCAACATTAAATTGAATAATATAAAAAGCTGCTTGGTTCTAAATACATACATACATATTTGTAATGTAAATGTGAATTTTAATACTGAACATAAACTGTATATAACTGCGACTAATATTGTTAAGTTCAATTTATTATTCTGAAAGTTCTGAAATTATAATGATATATTATATTCATAGACGTCAAACTGTTTACTCCATGAATGAAAGAGCTTGGAGTAAAAGTCGTTCTCTCTGTCTTAAGTAGACAACAAAATTGTTGGTCGCAAAACGTAAACAAATAAAAAGAAAAAGAAGGTAGCTTCTAATGTTATTCTTATGGGACAAATTAAAAAATTTATTTTTAGGGTTTTATAATTTTACTACTGAGCGGAATCGTCTAGAATTTTAATAGTGTCTATACACTGGTGTCATAATTATTTGTGCAAAATTTGAATGCTGTAAGTGCAACGGTTCTTGAGTTTTTAGGTGCGAACACAGGCACACACACCCACAAGCGGACAACTAATCTCTGACTCCGCTATACACGATACATAGATTCGTTCACTCATCTATTAGCTGTTATCAATGTTATCACAATTGCAAAAAACATAATAATGCTGCACCCTTTTGGTAAACCTTATAACTTTTTAATGCTATTTAGCACGTTCGCTACTGCAATAGTACGAAATTTTTCATTCACATGGACCAGCGATGCACATATGCGACGGCTGGTTTCTACCCATAGACTGCCGTCGCATATTTATGTCGGGGTTCTAATGTTATTGAAATGCTTATATCTTTGTAACGGTCTATTTGAAGGCACTGAATTCCCTGCAGTGGTCTACAGAGATGTCTGACACACAACTGCGTTGCTTGGTCTGTGGATATGATGATTGGTTACGTCATAATGATAGTTGAAAAAACTGGTATTTACTTTTCTGCATCACTGTATCTATGTGTGCTTCCTTATCCTATGTAGCTTTTATATTTGTTCAGTTATAAGCTGTTCTTGAATAATCTGTTTTGTTTACTTACTTTCACCTCAAAACACAAAAAAATGAACTGTCGCATATATGCGACGTTTGGTCTATTTCAAGAAAACTATGATAATTTTCACTATTGTCTTCGCTGTAGACCGGGTGTCACAAATATGCGACATTACAAAAGGTTATAAGAAATACAAGCGAACAAGAATGAATTATTTACAAACACGATTGTAGCGTATTACAATGTAAATGATCACTGTTTTACAGGTTTTCGCCCGTGGTCTGTGTGTACTGTTAACCAAGTGACAGCCGGTCTATGCGTAAGATTCAAATGTATACTTCGGTCTGTGGCAATGACCGCGGCGTCGCATCAGTAGCGAACGTGTTAGTATCATAGAAGCAACTTGTTTGGTCGAATCAGCTGACTTAATTATTTAAATTAACTTTTACCTTGATTACCTTAATTTTCCCTTTAACTTTTATTTTTAACTAGCTGGCCCGACAGACGTCGTCCTGTCCTAATGTGGTTTTATGTCAAATGCTCGTTCATTTTCAAGGTGAGCTCGTTTGCATCGCTCAATCACGTCCTGGTTCAAGTTCGTTTGCCACGCTCACCTTTAGGTTGGAGCTTGTTCGCTGCGCTTACTCGTCTCTGGTTTCGGAGTCCATAACGTTCAAATATATACAAACTTCCTCTTTTTTAAATATAGATTAACTTTTTTTATTATTTTCATTTAATTTAATTATTTTAAATGTGAATGCCAATTAGGTTAACATGGGAGACTCCAGAGCCACTGGGGCGGAGCCTGAAAGGAATTTTGAGATAGCAATATGCCTATATGTTAAACGGGAATGTGAGCTATCATCACCCCAAATTTCAGCTCAACCCGACCAGTATTTTTCATGTTACTTGTCACAAACATCCATATATACATCCAATCTTTCTCATTTATAATATTAGTTGGATTATAGTATGATTAGCACAGATGGGTCAGTTGTTAATGCCGGTTGTTTGTTTTACAGTTAGCAAAAAAACCTAAGCATTATGATAGTGACTTTGCTACTTTTTATAACTCAAGCAATTTATATGAGAATTTATAACGGATATACAACTAATTTCCCCCCAAAAACGATTACCAGGCTAATGGCAGCACAAAAAATTTCACTACACAATTAATAATTTGTTATTCTTTCCTCACAAAAAATGTGTTGTGAACCCTTTGTGCTTGTTTTACTGCTAACTTTTGGAAACATTTTCTTAGGTGGGTTTGTTGTGTATCCATGGACACTGTATATGTTTGTGTACGTATGTGTGTGTATTGATATTGAGCTGATGATTCATGGTTATCACTTACAGACTGTGGGGCTGCAGGCAATGTCAACAAGGCCCAAGAGCCTCTAGTCAGCAACGACTCACTCAGAGAGACACTGTGGTCGGAGGTTTCTGAGCAGCTCTTTGTAGCAGCAGGGGTCACTGCCAAGGACAAGCGGATTAAAGATGCAAAAAATGTCATTGCCACCATTTTCAAGGACAAAGTATCTTCACAGTCCAACAAGAAGGGTCAGAGCTCTTGTGCTACATTGACAGGTAACATCCAAGTGTTCACTTTAGGGATCTGCAGTACAGAAAATTGGGCCGTCGGCACAGTTCTGTGTGGTAAATTATTTTTTACCTTAGTTCTCGGCACGATACCGGGCTAAAAGTATTTTTGCTAGTTTCTTCTCAGGATTGTATTTAAACAATAATTTTTTAATTTTAGTTTAACCCTAGCAGTGGCCACTCGTCGTCTGGAGACGATATGACGTTGATGCTTTGAATGGCCAAGTCGTCTGGTGACGATATGGGCCGAAATTTTTTTAACGGTAAAAAAAACACTTATAATCAACTCAGATGAGAATAATATATATACCATTCGAAAGATCACATTCTGAACTTTCATTTTATTACATAAACAAACCCTGTAGCAGGTATATAACAATGTCACGACGATTAGAAATCAAATGAATTTTTGGCGCGGCACGACTTTTGCAGCCGACACTTGGGAAGTGGCAAAACACGTCTTGTTTGGCATTACCCTCCTCGGGTAATTTTCGTCTTGGGATGTTGCGGGTGGTACCACTGGATAGCCATTGATTTTATCTTCATTGTGGTAGTGATATTTAGAATGAAATATTGATTGCACAACCGGTACGATTTTATGAAAACAGCTGTTTTCGAAATTGTAACAAATGGCCAATGGTCGTCAGGTGACGATATGGAAAATATGAATTATATACAGTGTAATTTATTATTACTAGTCATATAGTATGTCATTTTGAAGAGGAAGAAATATAGATTCAGAGAGTGGCAGCCCTGCACTCAGGGTTATTTCTGTCTGCTGGCATGAAGACGACGGAAGTGAGTCATTACTGCTACAGTCTGTCAGCTGTATTCGCCATTGTTTGTTTGTGTTGTTGCCGGTGAGTGTTCGTTCTCGTGTTATCCGCGATTTATTACTAAATACGTTATTAGTTTGTAGTGTTAGTGTTAGTGAAGTTTGTGTGTGTGTATAACAGTAATCTAATCTTCATGCATTTTATTATGCATAAATATTACTGAATTGTGTAAAATAGTGTTCATAAAAGGTTGTATTTTGTTAGCATCATGTCCAAAATTGACAGTTCTGACATTCAGAGATTGTTGTAGGCCTATGAGACGGACCTTAGTTCGCCGTGCTATATATGCTATATAATGATATACCCAAGGTGTTATACATTTTTATAAAGGTAAATGAATACACTACAACATGTTTATATTGGTTTGGGGGTAAAAAATTTGGTAAAAAAGTTATATACTAAATACTGTACACTCCATTTTCTCAAAATGCGCAAAAAGTTCAAAACATTCTCAAATTGACACATAATCATAGGTGAAAATAACTTTTTACCATTATACTTATGACTTTTTTGGATTCCTTACTTCATTAGCCTAAGAAATGTGTACATATCTTTATTAGTTTATACATATATTACATAATGTTTCACAACACAAACAAACACTGTATAGTTTACACTGTTTTGTGGATTTGCGGTTATTGTAGCCTGTTATTATGTCCCTGTTACGTAAAAAAAAAAAATATTTCCAACATGTTATACATATTTATGTAGGTAATTGAATACACTACAAGATTATTATGTTGGTTTGAAGTAACAAAATTTGCTACAAAAGTTGTATACCAAATACTGTGAATTTTTTTCTCACGACATCGCTAAAATATAAAAACATTATTTTATATACATATGTTTATAGGTAAAAAATTATTTTTACCATAAACTTTATGACTTTTTTTGATTCCTTACTTCATTAGCTTTACAAACATGTATATATCATTATTAGTATACACGTATATTATATAACTTTTTACAACATAAACTAACACTATACGGTTTTCAATTTTTTCGGTTCTCCGTTTGTCATTCATTATATTTTGCCCCAAAAACTTATAAAAAAAAAATATTTTCCTAAATGTTATATATTTCTATGTAGGGAATTAGATTTTCTACAAAATGTATATAATGAATTTCCCATAAAAAATCCACAGGGGAAAAAATACCAAGGCCGCTTTTGAAATTTTACAAAAAAAATCAATTTTTTTTATTTTTTTCACTTTACCGATAAAATACACAGTCTACATCATTATGATATTACTATTTCTAGATTCTCCTGTTCTTTCCGGACAAAATGAATATGAGGTTGGCTAGGTTTACTTGTACGGTTGAATTTTTACGAATTTTCAAAAAAAGGTCTGCAAATCGCCAAAATGGGTTGGCCATTCCCCACTTCTAACATTGGCCACTGCTAGGGTTAATACAATGAAGATGGATATTATCTTACATTCATGGTTTTCTAACAACAATTGCAGCACCACACATTATTTAAACCTTTTATTCTTAACAAGAATTTTTTAAGAAAGAAACACAGTTAAGCTAAAGGCCTTATAGTCTAGCAGCTGGCTATACTTTAGTCTGCATAACATTTTAGTTTAATGTCTAGAAAATTAAAACAACCTGGGTGTTTACTTCCTACCCCCCACATTTTCCGGTTATGTCGTCATCAATATGGCGGCAAAGGATTTCTTTTAAAGTTATATTTATATTTAAAGTTATAGTTTAAAGTTATACAGAAGGTCCTCTAGATCCTCGTACAGGGTGTCCACATTCTGGAAAGTCATGGAAAAAAATTATGGTCATTGAAAGTCAGGGAAATAGGCAAGAAGTCATGGAAAGTCATGGAAATTTCCAATTATGGATGGATTTGAGGGGACCATTCAATGCTCTAGTCAGCCGTAACCCGGACTGTTGTAGCATTTTTTCAGGTTTTTTCACAAATGTTCGACAATTCAATTTATTACAGTTGTATTATTTTATTAGTTTTCGGTTTGTATTAGTTCATTGTTGTACCTATTGTACTCCATTGTTATCTGTTAATACATATTTCAGTATTTTCTGTGAAATAACTTGTCCAGGCAGTATTATTTGTGTGTGTATGTTATATTATAATTTGCATGTAAAGTTTGTGAGTCATGGAAATCAATGGTAAATGGTCATGGATAGTCATGGAAAGTCATGGAAATTAATGACAATTTTTTTGTGGACTCCCTGTCGTAGTTTCTTTGAAATTATAACTCGTTGAAATATGAGTAGTGGATCCACCACATGCACTACATTATTAATTTTGATAGTGCTGCTCATTGAGGCCAATGATAAGGCTTTTGTCTTTTCGAGCCTGATTCATCTCCCATGCAAATAAAACAGGATTTTAATTAAAACTGTTATTTCCTTTACCCTTTAGCTTAAAACGGTTAAGTCCTTCAAAAAATGCATACAGTCTTTTTTTGTAGGGAATTTTGTCAGCTTTAACTTTTGTATTTAACACTTTTCAATATGACTTACAGATTCCGATTTATAAGCGAAAACGTAAAAAAAGTCACATTCTGAGCCGTTCCATAAGTCAAGCTCGACCTCACCCATCAGGACTTTTTATTTTCTTCAATCTAATGAACAACGGCCACCTAACCGCCACCCCAGCTAGAGGCCTTATCTCTTCTGCCACATAGATGGGCTGTTAAGTGGTGATGTGCGCATGCTTACAAGCGGTTTTGCGATTTGCGTGCTTACGTGAGTGTGTGCACCATTTAAGTTTGTATTGCATATTAAATATATATTGACATTAATCAACTTTTGCTAAATATACCCTAAAAAAATGCCTCAGGGAAAAATGGAAGTTACTCGGGAAATATGCGGGAAATATGCAGGAATTCGGCCGAGCCCATTTGCTGGACACCCTTTCTTAGTGACAATCAAAATAAACTATAATGAATGAGCCATTGCCCGGTCCCTCGGTACTTCCAACCAACACAATAACTGGATGTTTAATTTAAACTTTTAAAACGTATCAATGTGTTCAGTACAGTAGACTCCCTCTTATCCGGACTCCTCGGGACCGAGGCCAGTCCGGACAACGAGTTTTCCGGTTAAACCAACGTCCCCAAAAACTTGATAAAACAGACTGTTTACTGTGATATTCGACTTAAATTTATGAGAGCATTGTATTTAGACACGTGATCACTGGTCTCAAATCTTTCCCACGAGAACAGGCGTTTCAGTACTGCCCACTTCCTGCTGATCTAGTCCGGTTAAACCAATGTGCTGATAAAAATTGTCCGGTTAAAGAGATGTAATTTCCGCCGAGTGTAGTCCGGTTAAACCAATGTCCGGTTAAAAGGTGTCCGGATGAGGGAGTCTACTGTACAAAGACAGTCGTAGTTGTTTGCTGTGCACATTCAACAGTTAGACAATGAAAGACTGGAGGTTATGGTATCTGGCTTGTATCATTAGTTTTACTCTTTCTCACTTGAGAAAAAAAACTTTTTGACTACCATAGTGGATTTAAAGTAATTAATTATTGTAGGCTGTAACGTACCAACCCCTAGTTTTCTCATGTACATGAACGTTGTGGAATGATTCTACAAGGTGTTGTGTTATGTTGCAGACTTGGCTTGTGGTGAGGGACTGCAGCACTCGGAGCTGTCCAATGTCATACTGCCTGGAGCTCTGACACTGTCTCAGCTGCTCACCGTACTGGACCAGAGAACAGTGTCTCTCAGCTCTCCTTGTATGGACCTCACACTAGTTCAACTCTCAACCAAAGGTAGGCCTACATATTATATTTTTTTTAAAATGTTTGTTATTTATTTATATATACAATACAAAGACAATGACAAAGTTCATTTTAACACTAAGCTACATAAGCTTTATAAAAAAGGCTTGACCGTAGCATTTCTTGACTTAACTTATTGATTTAACTAATTTGTCTATTTCATGCATCACATTTAGTCAGCCATATTATTTGTTTCCCCTTCCTAAACAGTAACAAAAGATATACTACAACTAACAAACATAAAAGGCCTAATGAACTTAATAATTAATATTTAACTTAATATTTAATTCTCATTTAAACATTTTAATTCCCCTGCAATAATATAAGAGTGTTTCTTTAAAAATAAATTATTATTCTTTTTTTGGCCCGACCCGGTCTCACAGGCCTTCTGCTAGCCCGACCCGACCGGAAAAATTCGGGGACCCGCAAACCCCTAATACATATCATATATATATATATATATATATATATACATTATCAGTGCAGTTTTAGATGTTGTAAACTCTGCCAAAGTTTTGTGTTCTACTATTGATATATTGGATTTACTGGTTATTCTTAAGGTATATGACAATTCTAGAAGAGTTAGTTGTGCAACCTCTAAGGCCCTGTACACATGAAGGCGGCAGCCGCCGCGGTGGCCGCAGCGGCGGCCGCCTAGGACCGTACACATGGCAGCGGCTGGAGCCGCGGTTACGCTGCGGTTGCGGTGTTAATTGACCGTCGCTTGACAGCCAGTACTGTATTTACCCAATTATTTATCTTTTAAACGCGTAACGCTTGACAATTCTTTTCAGCAAAAAACTCAACTAACTCTTGCTATGCAATCTTTTTTAGTTTATGTCCTAAACGTATCTTCTTTTTGTACTTCTATCAGTGTCAAAGTTTTCTGGTTCCACAGCAGCACGCATGGTCATTTAAACTTACACTACGAGCACTACATCAACTCCAGCCACAGCTACACACTTCACCAACACAGAGAGCGATGTCCACAGACAGGGCAAGCGCGCAGATGTCTGTGATCCTATAGTAGAAACTGCAGTCAACCGCGGCGGCTACTGCCCTCATGTGTACGCTCTCATGCCAACTCAAGTAACTCCAACCGCACGGCAGCCGCGGCGGTCGAAGGGAAATCTACGACCGCCGCGGTTAGTTGCGGTTGACTGGAAGTGGGCGGTTGCATGTGAACGGTCCCATTTGCTCCTTTGTACTTTCAACCGCCGCGGTTCCCGCAAAATAGCAACCGCGGCGGCTGCCGCCCTCATGTGTACAGGGCCTAAATAGTTGTTATTCGAGGTATTCACTGTTTTTTAGTTATAACACTTGTCTTACAGATATTGTTTTTGGATTATTATGTACAAGGATAGGGATCAGCTAGCTTGAGTCCATATTAGCTTTGGTAACATATACAAAACACATAAAACAAAACAGTAAAACTTAATATTTTATCTAGGGGTCTGTGGGTCCCCGAATTTTTCGGGTCGGGTTGGGCCAGCGGTTGGCATGAGAGACCGGGTCGGGCCAAAAAAACGAATAATAATTTATTTTTAAAGAAACACAAATATGTAATTATTATTACTAATTAATACTAAACTAATATATAATTAATAGGTATCTAATTCATTGTGGTATTTTTTTACTTGAGTTTATGGATGGTTTTTAATTCTTTTCATTTATTAGCAATTAAAATCAGTTGTTTTTAGATTTTAATCTCTTGCAGTAGGTCTATCTACACTATTGTATGACATGATATGCAATTTTTACAGTCCTTACTAATTATACAATAAACAATGTGTGTGTTAGTTACTGTTTTTGAGTTTTATAGTAAATCAGTTTACATAACATATTTTCTTCAACCAGTTCTCCACTTGTCATGTTGCTAAGCCTATTTGAGGCCCTATAAAAAATAATTCTTATTTAAAGCTGTAGGCCTACTAATGTCAATAATAGATAAATTATGTATTTTTAATGTTGTGTTGTAACTAATAATGCTATTGCAAGAGTGAGGTTTTCATACTAGGAGGATTAATGAATGATACATATTGCATGGTGGAAACATAGAATTTTTATTTTCTTCTTGCTTGCAGTCATGAAGCCATAAACAGGCCCTAAAATTGTGATTTGTTAATTGATTTGTTTATGATATTTTTATATTAAGTTTAATTCAAAATGTGTTGTAATTTAGCTATAAGTAGTTTTAACAGTTCTGAAAATGGGATAGAATGTCTATAAAAAAAAATGTATTTTCTTCTTTCTTGCAGTTGAGGCAGTTCCCAAGCTGTAAATAATATACGAAAATGAAATAATATACAATTTTTTTCATATTTTATAATCAAGTAATATTATAAACACAGATATAAGTTAAAACAAAAAAAATCCAGTAATTAATGAATTTTGGCCCGAAACCTGAGGGCCAAAATTATTGGACCGACCGACCGACCTGACCCGAACCAAAAAGTCTGACCTGCAGACCCCTAATTTTGTTCCTGTTTGGGACTTCACCATCTGAAGGGAGAAGAAAAAAGACTGATATCGTAATAAACAATATCTAAACGATAAATATATTGTTTTTGTTCCTTTTTCAATTTTGAAGTAGGAGGAGTAATCATTGTGTACAATTGACTGTATGATCGTAGAGGGGAGTGACATGGGAGAGCTGCTGTTGTCAACTGAGCCATTCCCCAGTGCACTTCAGGTGTTTACCCAGCAAGGAGGTCTAGCTCTGCTGGCTGAACATCTGCCCTTGGTGTATCCTGAGACTCTGATGTACTTCCGCACTGCCACAACCCACCAGCCCACTCACCAGCCTTCCCATCAGCCCACCACAGCGGATCAGATAGACGCTGACTGGGTTAAGGTGGAGGCCAGTGATGACATCTACGAGGTTAGACTGAATTAACCCTTTAAGTGCTTCGAGCAGGTGAAACAATTTTATCTGAGGTTTGCCAGGCCTTCATGTGGTGTTGCTTCTAGGAATGCCGGCCATTTTCCCACATAAATGCAGGTGTTTAGGAAAATCGTCATAAAATACTTATTTATTAACATTTTTGGCCTAAATTTGCTTTGTTTTGTATATTATTAGATCATGCATTTGTAAAATAGTAATTTTAGTTGGGGTTTCATTAGTTAAAATAAAATATTTTCATGGAAAAGACATAAATATGGTGCAGTTTATTCACGTTTTCAAAGTTTGAGTTAAAATAAAACAATTTAAAATTATTCATTGACATTCAATTTTACATTAGTTTTAAAGAGCATTAAAAACTAAAGAGAAATTATGTATATCAAATGTATTTATTGTATATGTCCAAAAAAATATGTTAAATTTATTTCAGAGGTCTCGAAAAATTTCGGTATCGAGAATGCAAATACCCATACCCTACTTATCTGCGAATATCGTACGATCTAAAAATTCACGCTTTTGCCACAATCGCGGATGGCGACGATAATGTTTCTGTAACTGTGGGAGTCAATGATGATGTCCAAACAACTGCAGGAGAAGATTTTGCTTCGATTATGGAAGATGATGATGATAATACAGGGTGTCTACCTATCATGAATGTCACCATGAAAAAGTATGTCGGATGTCCCGGAAAAGTCACCGATTTTAGTAATGTGTCACCGATGTCCCCTATTGTCACGGAATTTGCTTAACATGTTACCTAAATTATCGTAGACCTACAGATTTTCATAAATTTTTGGGACAAACCAAAATCATAAGACGAAACTTGTCATGTATCAATAATTTACTATCACATCGAACAGTTTATCTAGTCTAGATCTAGACTAGAGAAAGCTTTCCAAATAAAGGATCGCTTTGCGAACTGGGAAGTTAATACAGTAAGCAAGTCAGTTCAGTACTGTAGCTAGTCAGGCAACCGGCCAGTCTACGTTCAGTCTCAGTGTTGTAATATCTGCCCGCTGCCGCCATTTTGCTGTCAAGTGCGGGGTGCTGCTATTTCGTTCGTGCTGCCATTGGAGTTTTTATCCCCTAAACAGGACTTTTTAGACCATGTGCGGGATTAAAACAGGATGCGGGATAAGACGAGATCGGCTCTTACGATTAGTTTCTTTTTATACAGCTTTCCATATAAAAACTAACACCAATTACTTAAAATATTCTACCATAGCATTGTTGAAAACTTTTAGTAGATATTTAGATGACATGTTACAAATTACTGATCAGTATTCACCCTGATCAGAATGTAAAAAAAGTCATGCGGGATTAAACGGGATTTTTAATTACAATAAAGCGGGATAGATGGGGATTTTCTCGACCCTGTAAGTGGAAATTTTGTTTCAAAGTGACTATTCACACGTCAAAATGACGTCACAACACTCACAACCCGTTCCCGTTGCAGTTCCAGTTCCAGTATTACAAAATAATGCAAAGGGAACAGTTAATTCAGAAATCAGAAACGTTTTATTGTCCTTCAACATTTACAACAAATGCAATAGACAAAATTTAAGAAAATTCAGCAATTACATAAACAGCCTATTATTAGGCAAAACAAAACAAGTCTAAAAACAAGTCAAAATAGGCTATACTTATACATATGCTTAGGCTACAAATAAAAAGAAGAATGTGGAAATGTGAGGACATTAAAAGTTAACTTCGTCAACCTTAAAATATTCTTCTATGTCATAAAAAGGATTTAAAAGTAAAACAGATTACTCTGGACAATCTTGCACGAACCAAATCTATCTGAGGAGACCAGCTTAAACAATTATCAATGTTTATTCCTAGAACTGTAATTACATTTTCATTGTTTACATTCTGTGACTCTACTGGAATGTTTTTAAGACTACACAATATATTTTGAGTTTTATTCTTATTAAGACAAAGGCTATTAGCATTAAACCACATATAAGCTGAATCAGTGTTGTGAGCTCAGTTACTGACATGAGATCATAGAAGTTGGAATGAACACTCAAAAAATTGGTGTCGTCCGCAAACATGATGGTGGATCTTTTAATATTGGCTGGTAGGTCATTGATAACTGTGATAAAAATAAGGGGGCCTATAATCGAACCTTGTGGCACACCTGAGCTAACTTTCAAGCAGCTTGACACCTTGACTTCTGCATCAACGAATTGAGTTCTCTCTCTCAAGTATGAATCAAAAAACTTAAGCTGTATACCTCAGATGCCATAGTACTCCAGCTTAGTGATGAGTATGTTGTGATCAATACAGTCAAATGCTTTACTCAGATCACAAGCTGTGATCCGAGCAAAGCTTGATTCCTCAAAAGCTCTCAAAATCTTAGAAACAAGGTGGTCAAATAGGACGATAATTTTTAACTAAAAGTTAAGATTGTGGTTAAGGCCTAGAAAAATGTATTCTCAGGGTTTTGTTCACTCTGTAAAAAGGAGATTTATGTGTCACACTCTCTCACAAATTAACTCGCAGAAATTTACTTAGTTCGATGTCACCGATTTTTAGGGATGGACGGGATTGAATTCTTGGTTCGGGACGGGATTTTTATTTCCTTCCCGATTTTTGGGACGGGACGGGACGGGATTTTTTTCTATGCATAAAAAGAAAGTCTTGAGTATTGTAGTTACCAAAAAAGACATACGAAATCAATTTTTACCGTTTGTGGCACTGATCTATAAAAACAAAAAAAAATGGATAACAATTTACAGGTACCTATAGAAACTTGTGACTCGCGGTCACGGTGCGATCGTCAAAATGACTGCGGTCACGGGGTGGTCGTCGGTATGACTCGCAGTCACGGCATGATCGTCGGTATGACTCACGGTCACGGCGCGATTGTCGGTAGGACTCGCGGTCACGGCATGATTGTCGGTATGACTCGCAATCACGGCACGATCGTCGGCATGACTCCGCGGTCACGGCGCGTTCGTCGGTAGGACTCCACGGTCACGTCGTAATCGTCGGTATGACTCGCCATCACGGCATGATCGTCGGTATGACTCCGCTGTCACGGCGCGATCGTCGGTAGGACTCCGCGGTCACGGCGCAATTGTCGGTATGACTCGCGGTCACGGTGCGATCGTCTGTCCATGAATTGCGGTCACAGCGTGATCGTCGTTATGACTCCGCGGTCACGGCGTGATTGTCGGCATGTCTCCGCGGTCACAGCGCTATCGTCGTTATGACTCGCGGTCACGGTGTGATCGTCGGTCCTATAATCGCGGTCACGGCGCAATCGTCGTTATGACTCCGCGGTCACGGCGTGATTGTCGGTATGACTCGTGGTCATGGAGCGATCGTCATAATGACTCCGTGGTCACGGCGCAATCGTCGAAATGACTTCGTCTTCTGCGTTCGCGGACCTATCGCTTGCAATAGCGGCGTCATGGGCACTCGCGAAGCGGCAAAATCGCCGACGATCGGACCAAATCCCGTCCCGAAAAATTCCCGAATAAAATGTAATCCCGTCCCGATAATCGGGAATATTTTGTTCCCAAAAAATTCCCGAAATTTCGGGAGCGGTCCATCCCTACCGATTTTTGTAGATATGGCCCCCAAATGTCCCCAAAATGTCACCGATTTTTAAAATAGCTTACTGGTAGACACCCTGTAATATCTTCAAAACCGCGGTAGGTATTTAGATTTTGCCTCTATGATGAATTTTCTTGTGACCGCAGTAGATCACAAGAAAATTCAATATGTCCTTTTTCAATATGTGCCACAATTGCTCTAGACAATGATTGTAACAAAACCACTCAAGATATTCAGCATTTTGCCATGATTTCGGGAGACAATGATAATGTCTATAAGGCTAATTATGCGAGTTGTGTACAGTACGTTACCCACGACTTTTTTTAATAACTAACCATCACTATTCATAATGTCTAATAGAGGTTATGTTTTCGTTTATAACCTCTTACTGCCACTGATTTTGATACAACAACTAATGAGTCCCAACCACTCACTGATGGCATAATAAATTAAATTGACCTCAACAGCTGATAAGTTGACGTCCGATCCGAAGTATTACAATTTACAATTTTACCTTTTTCCTCTCAATCCTCGAACCTCATTGGACTAAACTTGTTCTGTAAAGTAACAAAACAATGCTGTTAAGTAAGTAAACAACACTGTTAGGTGAATCTTTTTAATCCTAAGAACTAAATTGAAAAGACTAGTTTAAAAAACGGTCGTAGGTAAAATCAATCAGTAACCCCAACTACTTTCCAAATTTACCCGGGTGTTTTCCTTACCAGAGCTTAATAATTTATACCAATAATTTATAAATATTACTCTTAAGTTCTCCTTTTGCCCTCTGTTATAATAAGTTATAAACTAATAGGCATAAGTAAAAATACATTCGTTTACTTTGAAAAAACGTTGAAAAATGAAACAAATGAAAATGTTATTTGCCTATTAGTATTGTTTTATAGAATGCTTGCAAATAAAACAAACTTAAAAGGATAACACCAGCATTGGTAGAATGTCATATTAATTAGTATTTTAGAGTTAAATTGAATGTCACAAACATGTGGGAAAGACAATAGCTACGATTTGTTGAAGGATGTGGAGGAGAGTATGGTAGCTCCCTACATGAGTAGCCAGGGAGGTAAGCACAATGAGGCCAGTATTCCTACAGTACCACTGCACTCTCTAGCAGCCTTTGGTCTGTTCCTGCGACTACCAGGATATGCTGAGGTGCTGCTGCGAGACAAGCGCAAAGCTCAGTGTCTGCTGCGATTGGTGCTGGGAGTGTCCGATGATGGAGAGGGTGGTAAGATCAACACTCGTATCTCTTAGCATTATTTAGTATATTTTATACTAATATTCTTGTTAGTAATTGATTATTTATAATTTCCAGTTAGTGGGTATTTTATTCTACATGGTGTGTGAATTTTAAAATCTATTTAATTTTCCTATCTTCCAAAATAAGTTAAGATGGTGTGTGAATTTTAAAAAGGCGCTTTAGTTTTTTTATCTTCCAAAACATTATTTCATTTAAAATATAGTAGCCATAACAAATTATATAGAGAAAAATATTTTGGAAGATAGGAAAATTAAATAGATTTTAAAATTCACACACCATGTTGAATGTATATGTATACTTTGTTATTACTATTAAAGATGGTAAATGTCTGTAATGATTTCTTGAATAACAGACATTTTATGCTTTAATACTTGTAGCCTATGTCTTTTCAGTTTGTATAACAACTTAATGTTCTACCTTTCTGTGCAGGAGATATAATGAGCAACCCAGTGTCCAGCTCACTGCCCACGCTGCCATTTGAAGTGCTACGTCAATTGCTAGAGTCAACTCCCCTTAGCACAGACGACGGTGTTCTGCTGAGGAGGACAGCCCTGGACCAAGGAGCTCTTCACTTGCTGTTGTCTTGTCTGGCTGTCTTTACTCACCAGCCCCACGAGTCCGTCCTGCCGGGGCTCACCAGCTTAGTAAGTGATTCAACACTCACATCATATAGTTTGCTACCTCTAGGAGTATTTGAATATAGATTTTTCTGACCTCGTATACTAATCCTATAGCAAGAGTTTAGTGAGATTATTGTGTGCAGTTTCAAAAAAACACTTGTCAAAGCAAGGTGTTTTTATTCCTCAATTTTTGTTTTATATATATATATATATAAATTTATATTTATTATTTACTTGTACACTCTAAAGCAGTCATCACAGTAAATTTGTACAGCTATCTAGGTGGTTTATTGAACTCCTACCTATATGTGAATGCAATATAAGGCCCTCTGTTTCGAGTAATGTCAATTCTGTTTGAATCACTGTTTCCAAATAAAATATTTAACATTTTTACTGTGACATTTAAGGTTAACCCTTTTCTGGGATATTTTATGTTTTGCCATCCAGGAACTTTATTACTTTCATTACTACTTCAACTAAGTTTACTAATTTGTGTGAATTTGTTTGACTTGCAGTTGAAGACTTTACCGCAGACACGCAACAAGTCGGATGACAAGTCACATCTATACTGGGCCAAGGGGACAGGATTTGGCACTGGCAGCACCACACAGAGCTGGAATGTAGAGCAGGCTCTCAGTAGACAGCGCAGTGAGGAGCAGCATGTCACTGTCCTGCTACAGGTAAACTAGGTCTGCTTACAATATTGAGCGGAGCCACAAATTGATGGTTTTCATAATCTCTATCACTTCAGGCCCTAGTGATAAAAGAGTACTAATATATATATTAAGTCTTTAAGAGTTTAAAAAGGGAGTTTTGCTGAAAGTCAAATGTGCATTAGGTCAAATAATTTATACTTTTACCATTAGGTCAAAAATTACAATGTTTGCAGTCTCCCCTAAGTAGGTATAAATATCATTAAGTCAAATATTAAAGTCAATGCTGAAAGCGTAGTCTCTTTTAAAGCGATTGACGCATCGGGATTTTGACCTGTTGCAACAGCAGTTTTAATATGACAAAATACGATAAATTACAAGTTCTGTTTCACTGAGTCAACAATACCATTAGGTCAAAAAAGTAGAGTCGGTTCAGTGGAAAGTAGACCTCCTGCTACGCCCGCTACCAACAAAACACGCTTCTTATTACTTTGTGTTTTGTCATAATTAGAATAGAGCTAAAACTATAATATTTGGTACCTAGCTTATGTATTAATGCTTCTTATCGACTGTTTGATTAAAACTGTAAATAGGTTGTTTATTTTTTTAATATAAATTAATATCATCTGCTAAAAAACTTTTAGTCTAAATTGGTAAGATGAAAAAGTTAGTAAGCGAGAATTTTTTTATGTTTTGGTCAGAGATGTTTTGTCAGTGACAAAATTGTTGTTGATAAGAATGTGACTTTACTTTTTGACCGAATGGGACTGTTGATGTAATGCTACAGCAAATATATAGTTTTTTTGTTTTTTTTTATCTAATGGTGCAAGCATAAATTATTTGACATGCACATTTGACTTCCAGCAACACATCCTTAAAACATGTGTTGCAGACTTCAGTGTAAACGCAGCTAAACAGGAGACTGAAAGGGTTAAGGCATAATTTGGAAGCACTCAATAGGCTGACACTTGACCATGTACCTCAATGTGTAAAAAAAAAACAGTATTATAGACTATAGAGCTTGAGAGCTTCACTCGTTTTACTCAATTAATCTAGTGCGGATTCCGGCTGAGGGTATGACGTCATATCTTGTAGTGTCGGCTGTCACCGTTAGAAGCACTAAGTTGGGAGGCTGTATGATAATTAAATGATAACTTACGTTCAATTTTAATTTTTTTTTTTTTTAGTTTTTTTTTATCTATGAACAATTTGGAAGAGTGTAACACTATATATGTAAGTTAAAACACTCATTGAAATCTGCCAGGTTAAACCCGACTGTTAAAACATTGTAAACAGTGACTGCGGAAGACATTCGATTCATAATTTCACCGTGACCGCTGAAATTATGACAAAAAAATAATTTTTTTTTCATCATTTTCAGCAGTCACAGTGAAGTTATGAATCGAATGTCCTCTGCAGTCACTGTTAAATCTTAACATCTCCACGGACACTGCTGAATTGAGAACATCTTTTGGGGTCATGGCAAAACCTTGTGTGCTATGCTGGACTTGACCCGATAATCATTTCCACCTTGAACTGATCCCTTGAGATAACTATTGCTCCGACCCAACCCGAAAATATTGGGGACCTGTAGACCCCTAGTAATAATGTATCACAAATAATTCGGGAAAACAGGTTAATTTTTCCCAGGAGGTCTGTGACCACCCTTGACGGTGTACACTCCACTAAATGTTACTTAACTTCTGGCAAACAGTAGTACTGCTGTTCAACTAGGAACTTACCTGATAAAAAAACAGAAACTATGTTACATGATGACTACAATGATAACTACATGATAACTAAAATACACGATATGTTAATTAAATTATGATCAATATAGTTAGCACTAACCCCCTGTCATGATGGGATTTGTTAGGTTCTGTCTACGTACATCAACCCAGGAGGAGTGGTGAATGCAGACAGAGACAGTTCAGATGATGACAGTGATACACCTACCAAGCCTGTGCCTCAGCCATTGCCTCCTTGTATACATGACCTGCTACAACAGTCCTGTCTGCTGCCTGCTCTTTCCTCCTACTTGCGCAACGACTCTGGTAAACTTCATTCTTCAAATAATTCAAAGAAAAATTTGTGTTATTTAGAAAAGGATCATACAAGACTATAGAGACATATATCTCTCTAATTAAGTATCAAATCAGGATCTTTTTTGTGAGAATAGCAGGTTTGTCGGAATTGGAAAGAGCCCAATCTGACACAATAAACATACAACTTTACACTACAGACAAATCATTAGAATATTTCAATGTCACTGTCAGAATTTTCAACTATGGAGGCAGGAGTTGAAGAGAGAGTGGTATTCAGGCCTAATGGTAGCTTGGAAGTTCATTGTGACAGTGAAACGTTCTAAGACGTTGTGTATACAGTTGTGCGTTTCTTGTGCCAGATTGGACTCCTTCCCATTTAGGTAAGCCTGCTTTACTCACAAAAAAAATACTATAAGCCTAGACTCTTGCTATCAATTTTAAATTGTTATGTTTCAAATCAGCTTTCCATCCATGATGTGTTACTTTGTTCTGTCATAAATCTAAGATAGACATTCATGGACCTGTTTCTTTTGACAGTGCTGGACATGGCCAGACACATTCCCCTGTACCGCAGTGTTCTACAACTGCTACGGGCTATTGCTCAGAATGCTCAATTGGTACCGCTGTTGCTACCGAGGCCAAAGCAAAACTCCCTGCAGTTATCCACTGTGTGTCTACTTCAGAAGATGAAGATTGTTGTTGACACATATGCCTCAAGATTAAAGTAAGTAGTGATGTGTCAAAGTTGAATCACATATTTCAAATTTATTTAATTTTCAGAGTAAATACTTTTGACCAACTTATTCATTAGAATCGGTGATCAGATACGTGTAGTAAGAATCCTATGCAAGTTGTCTTGATTCTTCAGGTTCCGAGTTTTTGTAATTTCTGTCTTCTCTGTATGAGTTAGCTTGTGATTATTAAATTATTATTTCAGAAGTACAGATTGATTACAGGTGTGGTGCGGATATCTGGAAATTTGGGTCGGATTTGGTTCAATTTGGATATGCGTATCCAAACCGAGCCCAATTTTTATATTCGACACTATCCGTTAAGTATCCGACTTTTTGGATGGACTGCAATGACATTTTAGGCTGAAAACATGATCTTTATAAGTTAATAATCATCATTAGTTTCCACTTTCCAAGTACGTTATTTAAACATTACGTTCCCATTGACGTTACAGCAATCGACTACTCATGTGAAAAATATCAAAACATTCATATGAGCGTCGTCGCCATGAAAAATAATGAGTCAACAAACATAACAATCAATATACTACGCAACATGCGGTACTGCAATCATATGAATCAGAAATCAGAAACAAGCTTGTTATTTTAATGACACTATCAACACATCAGACATGCGAAAAGAGTACAGTTGAGGTAATTATTAACAACCAAAGTAATACCAAACATTTAATTTTGTATTAATTGTTTTCTTTCTCGGGTTTTACTTTTGTTTAACATAATATATTTGTGAGCTCCAAGACAAAACTGTGCAATACCGAAATGTTGTTTGGTTGTTAATCAGCTGTTCACTTGCTTGATTTACAATTGGATTAATCTAGAACAAACAGATACAAAGGAGAAAAGAACTACCGAGGTCAAATCAATGTCAATTCGTGCTCTTTTCCTGTTTTGGAGCGCTGCGAGGCCAGTATAGTTTCGCTTATAGTACAATGACACACATAAATACAAAGATAAAGATGTACAGTTTAAAGATCTAAATAAAATATTTACAAGCCACAAGCTACTGTGAATAATTTTTTTGAAAATTATCTGTAATAGTTTTCAGTTTTTGAACAGAGAAATATCTCTTTGATTGATATTATAAGGCCTTACCTTAGCAATCCTGTTTAGGTGCAGCAATTGCTCCTGAAACAGGATTGCTAAGGTAAGGCCTTATAATATCAATTTATATATAAGCAATCCAGAGGCTAAAATGATTGATCTCTTATTGACTCTTCTTAAAGAGGGATTTGTTGGCAACTGCTGACTTTCCCGCTCGGTTCAAAACGTAGCCAGCAGTGATGACAAGTTCCGCCCAGATCATTGTAGGAAATGTTACATTTGGATTGGCGTACTTGAAGGTACGGGCCATTTCGACAATCGTTCTGTTCTCTCTCTCCACAGCACTATTTATACAGGTGTATCCGGTGCTCTCAGACGTTGGTTTACACCATATTCTCTGAGAATTTGACCAACTTCGGTGTTGTCAAATTCACCACCGTTGTCGCTAAGAAAATCTCTGACGTGATGACTAATTGTGCGTGCTTTAGCGAGCACTTCACACAAAGCTTCCTTGACAGCAGATTTTTCCCTTGTGACAAAACAGTAGCGGTATTTTGAAAAGTGGTCCTTTATGTTTATGACTATCAAGTATCAGCGACCTCCGAAGGATAGGTCAAACGGGCCGCAAACATCATTGGATAACAACTCACCTGGGACTGAGGGGCGTTCTTGTGTTACGAATGGTAGACAGTTTGCCTTTCGGAACTTGTACGGTTCACAGATCTCGTAGTTGGCTGCCACTTTGATACTCATTTCGGATTCAAGCTTTGATCGGACCTAGCGTTTATCCATGTGACCCCAGCGCTCATGATATAACTGCAGAATGCGATTGTCTTCTGCTGCATCAGCGCAAACCTCAGACGGTTGACTGTTAAGGAAAAATTAAATCGGTCTCGGGTCCAGGTCTTACCATGAGTACTACGGTAATAGCTTATTCCCTATAGGTGAAATTCGCTAAAAAAAAAAACATTGCCACAAACAAATTGAGAACCTCCTCCTTTTGTTGGAAGTGGGGTCGGTTAAAAATGCTGCGGTTAATCAAATAAGAATGGCTGACAGTCTTATCTTTCCATGCTGGTAGCTGAGTAATTTAAATAGTGACACAACAAATTATCGTCCTTGAAAATGGGCGTGTGTGTAGAGTTAAAGAAGATGTCATAATATGCAGAAGTTGCCGTTGTGATTTATAATACAAATCATGAAATGTTGGGATGAAATAAAGCAATACAATGCCATGAATTATTTGGTTGATGTTACAGATTATTTCTAGGTTTATATACTATTTAAATGTTTGAATATACTCATTAGGATCGAGCCAGGCTCAAAATACTAAAATATTCATTCAACTATTCGAACTTTTGAATATTCGCACACCGCTACAATATAGGATTGACGATTGTTGGTTCTAAAATTGAATAAATACGTCCTCATTAGTTAAATATTATGTTAAACATATCAAGAAAAAACATTTTGTTAGCATACAGTGTGATGTATGAATGACTAGTAAAGTGTTTAATCTTAAATTTTACAGAATAAACAAGCCCAAGAATCAGAAAAAACTGACGAGGGTCACTAATAGCCTAAAGTCCCAGCTGAACTCCACAGAGACAGCTGAGTCTGACGAAGGCTTAGCTTTGCTCATCCCAGACATTCAGGAAACTGCCAACCTAGTCCAGGTAATAGCTTTCACCAAAATATCTTTGAAGTAAACCGCTTATACTTTTTTGCTAATTTAATTTAAAGCAAACAGCAACAACCATATCAGTGCTTCTTCTCATGAAGAATTATCCAGCCTATCTAGGAGGACGTAAATCCAGGGCTTGGCATCATTGAATGATAACTATAAACTGTCAAAAGGCACGACACCTTAACAATCATTATGAAAAATGATAATGTAAGTAAGTTCTCTCTTTATCTTAATTGGTTTGAAAAATTAAAACTGCATTGGCATTCAAGATCTACTACAGCAAACTTTTGTTTCAGGGCACTGAGTCAAATGAGGCTATGAAATAAGCTAACAGTGGTATTTATTATATTTATGTATATTTTTAATCCTGATCTGATATAACAAGATTACTTTTATTGCAGGCTGCCACAGACAAGTTGATTTATGAATCTGAATCAGATTCAGAAAGTGGGTTGGGCCATGATCTTGAGTTGCCTGTGCAGAAAACGTTAGAACAAAGGTGAGTACAAGCAACATTCACTGTTTAGTTTATTTGAAATATCTATATGCGTAGTACTCAGCCAAACACTGATTTTCTTTAGTAAAAATAGCTCCTTCTAAAAATAGTGCAAATATATTTGAATTAATATATAGTTAATATATAGTAATTAATATATAGTACAGGTTGTCCCCAAACTCTCTACCGACCTTTTAAGGTATTATTCTAGGCCCAAAAACATAACCAATGTCCAAAACTCACCCCCATTCAGTTGTCATTTTGTTTGTTTACAAACTATCTTTTATTTCATAACGGCTTTTCTTATTGAATTGATATTTGGTACAGTAGACTCTCGCTCATCCAGATCGGCCTTTTCCGGACTCCCGCTAGTCCGGATCGGCAATCGTGATTGTTTTAGCGGCACAGTACAGTAAAAGTCTGATGATAAGAGCTAAACGGGACCGAGACTACCTCGGATAATCAAAAACTCGGATAACATGGCAGTAAAAATTTTTACCGGTGGAACTGCATTTGACCGGCTATCAATACTGTGGACCTGGAACAAAATTGAAAACACTTTTATATACAGTACTGTATTTGCTCGACTCTCGATAGTCCGGATTTAAAAAATCCGGACCGGACGTCCGCCACATTAGTTTGGATGAGCGAGAGTCTTCTGTATATAGATTATATACGCAAAGAACTACTTAAAAAAGAATATATAAACAAAAACATAATACACAATATACAGGGTGATTTGTACTCAGTGTGACAAAATTTTTTTGGTGTAAGTACAAAGTAAATGAAGTGTGATGATGCATATCAAATGTTCCAAGTCTCAAAATTAGCGTCCCAAAAAATTATTTTATGTTTTTCAAAAATAACCATGCTTTTAAACTTAATACAGCGATTTCTCAATTACCTGTATAGGGATTTGAGTAGATAATGTCATTTTCGTGTTCTACATTAAATTTTGAACAAGAATAATGGAAAATGACGGAGGATCAGTTGTAAAAACTCCATTGTAAATAGATTCAAAGATAAAAATTAATATATTTGATAAAAATTTTAAAAACAATGGTCTATTGCATTTTTCACACCCTGTATACAAGAAAGTGTCGGAATATGTTAAAAACAGCGCCATTTTATAAGCTTTCCAACCATATGCTACACTATTGAGGTTTAGATATTTTTTTGTTTGTTTTAGTGGTTTGAATACCAGAAAACAGGGAACTTTTTTACTGTTTTTACTGTTCAAGCTGAATCAAAAATACAACTTTTGCTTAATACATGCCGACTTTCTATGTTTTAAATGTTAAAGACACCATGCTTTGCAGTCTTCAAACCATTAAAGCGTACATAAGCAGACATAAACCTCAATAGTGTAGCATATCGTTGGAAAGCTTATAAAATGGCACAGTTTTTAACATATTCCGACACTTTCTTGTATACAGGGTGTGAAAAATGCAATAAACCATTGTTTTTAAAATTGTTATCAAATATCTTAATTTTTATCTTTGAATCTATTTACAATGGAGTTTTTACAACTGATCCTCCGTCATTTTCCATTATTATTGTTCAAAATTTAATGTAGAACACGAAAATGACATTATCTACTCAAATCCATACACAGGTAATTGAGAAATCGCTGTATTAAGTTTAAAAGCATGGTTATTTTTGAAAAACATAAAATAATTTTTTGGGACGCAAATTTTGAGACTTGGCACATTTTATATGCATCATCACACTTCATTTACTTTGTACTTACACCAAAAACATTTTGTCACACTGAGTACAAATCACCCTGTATACAACAATATACAATACAATAAACAATTTAACAATATAAACAATAATAAAGAATATATATTTTTATGTTTAGTTTCAAAATGACTGCCATAAAGTTCTTAAATAACACAAAAACTACATAGGCGAGCCAAAACTACAGCGTTAATGTTTTGTTTAGATAATTTTATGGCAATACTAATGATGCCTATTATAAGTAAGTTCAAATCAAATCAAAAATAATTTATTCCACAAAAAATATGTTACAAAAATTATAATATAGCCTACATACAAAGGATGGTCCCCACATAGGCAAAGCCTGTGCGTGGGGAACGAGTTGTATCAGTCCATTTACTACAGAATCTTAGATGTCCATTCAACTTATAATCTATTTACAATACATTGTACTACATACTAATACATAATTAAAAAGAAAAAACACTTTCACCAGGGAGCTACAGCAGATAACTTAACTTAAAACCTTATAATGAAAAATTAAAAGTTAAAGAGGATAAATAAGGTAAAAATAAAAATATATAAGAAAGGATTTAATAATACTATCAAAATACAAAAAAGTCACTGGGACTTGGAACCATTCATACTGTACAACTTCTACACACACGCACGCACACACAAAATACACGCACGCAACGACTCACTACAGGGCCTGTACAGGCGGCTGGTAGCCCCAAAGGGCCATCACTGCTCTGTCCCTGTGGGCCAGCGTCGAGCCGACTCTCTCTCTCTCGTTCTCCCCCACTGTTTCTCCCTCCCTCTCACCCTCCCCCTCTCTCTCTCACTCACTCTCCCCCTCACACACACAAACACATCATCGAGGACACACGCACACGCACCCTACGAATATAATGACACAAGATAATGATCAATCTGTCCACGGCCTGTTTCCACTACCCACTTATCTACTTGATTTTTAGGCCCCTATTAGCCGTGAGCAACATGTGGCGCAGCTAGTGGAGCCGCCGGTGTCGGACGTGTAGAGGGGCATGGAGTCAAATGGTGCCTATTAGCCGTAGAGAGACCGGTGGCGCCGCCAAGAAAGCTGCCCGAGGTGTTGCCAGGAGTGATTTTGCCCGGCAACATGTGTCGCGACCAACATGTGCCGCGACCGTTTTAGTGTCCAGGCAGTCGGGGGGCATTGCAGTATATGGAGCCTATTAGCCGTGGGCAACATGCGACGCCACTGACTGCGCTCCCATGCGTTATTAACGTGAAAACGAAGCCTGTCACACAGTCTACATCGTGGTTTGAGTCGATTGAGACGTGCCTCGCCATATTGCTGTTCTATTCATTATTGACTTCGGTTCACTTTGTTTACCAGTGACCTTTTTAACAGTGTATTCTTTCCTTTTTGTGTCATTAGTGTTTTTAGTTGTCTTTAGTTTAGATAAACAATGTCTAGTGCTAATAGTGACGTGCAAATTGTGGATGCAGTCACTCAACGTCATGTTTGACACTAGAGTGTTGTGGTGAATTCCGCTTTTTGAGCGAGCTACGAATGTGTCGCACGACTATTGTCCAGGTTCCAAACGCTGTGGGTCACTGGCGTCACCACCGGCGGCTCCACTTGCTGCGCCACATGTTGCTCACGGCTAATAGGGGCCTTAAATGTTTGCAAACTGCAAGGTTCGGGATACTTTAAACTATTAGGCAATTTGAGAACTTTATTTTTGCAATGTATTGGGGAGAAGTTTTATTGATTGATTTATTAACTTTTGGAAATTGTATACCAATATTAACTGAAAATCGATTTGGATAATTGTGAGTTGGTTGGCAAAAAATTTATTGTTTATTTTAAAAAATATATATTAGTAAGGATCTTGTATATAGCTGGGAAATATTAAATACTTTGAACTCGTCGAAAACTGTTTCAGAGGGATATCGAATAGGTTTGTGGAGTGCAATCTTGATTATTCTTTTTTGAATAATTTCTATTGGTGCAAGTATACTTTTGTATCCTCCACCTCAGGCCAGATTTCCATATTGCAAAACAGATTGTACATAAGCATAGTACACCAGGGTGTATACCAACCGGGAAAACCGGGAGAACCGGGAAATAACCTTGAATTTGAAGGGACCTGGAAAAATCCGGGAAAAAGCCGGGATTTTTGGACCGATTCCGGGATTTTTATTTTTGCCCCAGTAAAAGATTGTAGTCGTAAAATGCGTCTTGCCGTTTTTGCGGGCGCCGACGATGACGTTTTCGTGACCGCGGGAGACGACGATGACGTTTTCGTGACCGCGGGAGACGACGATGACGTTTCCGTGACCGCGGGAGACGACGATGACGTTGACACGGCCGCGGGAAATATTCATGATTTTACTGACGTCGCGGGCGACGACGATGACGTTTCTCGATAACTTCTAGAGGCAATGATGATGTCTACACGGCCGCGGAAGATTTTCGTCATTTTCCGTGACCGCGAAAGACGACGATGATGATTTCTACACGGCCGCGTGATATGCTCATGATTTTGCCGTGATTGCGGCCGACGACGATGACGTTTCCGTGATTGCGGCCGACGATGATGACGTTTCCGTGATTGCGGCCGACGACGATGACGTTTCCGTGACCGCGGGAAACGACGATGACGTTTCCGTGACCGCGAGATCAACGATGATGTTTACACTGCCGCGGGAAATATTCATGATTTTGCCGAGATCGCGGACGACGACGATGATGACGTTTCCGTGACTGCGGGAGGCAATGATGATGTCTACACGGCCGCGGAAGATATTCGTGATTTGCCGTGACCGCGAAAGACGACGATGATTATGTCTACACGGCCGCAGATGTTCATGATTTTGCCGCGATCGCGGACGACGACAATGACGTTTACGTGATCAACGCTGATGTTTACACTGCCGCGGGAAATATTCATGATTTTGCCGAGATCGCGGACGACAACGATGACGTTCCCGTGACCGCGGGAGTCAATGATGGTGTCTACACGTCCTCGGAACATTTTCCTTAGTTTGCCGTGATCGCGGACGATGATAATTACTTTTACGTGACCGCGGGAGTCGATGATGATGTCCACACGGCCGCGCAAGATTTTCGTGATTTTGCCGCGATCGCGGATGACGATGATTACGTTTCCGTGATCGCGAGAGACGGCGATAATGTATACATACCGCGGGAGATGTCCAGGATTTTTCTATGATAACGTAAGACTGTGATGACGTTTACGTCACTGTGGGAAGCGACCACACGACCG